AGTGGTCCTCCATTGTACATAAATCCACATTTCCTGTCTCCATTCATCTCTCTTTCTCCATACATCAGAATGTATGCTGTTTTCAAGATTTAGCTACTGAAAATTGCTGCTATAAAAATGGGTATGCATTTTGCAACATGATGTCTTTAACTCTTTTGGGACGATTTCTAGAAGAGGAATAAGTATGTCTAGTGGAATTTCTGTTTTTAGTTTTTGGTTTTTTGCTTGTACCGGAGATCAAACTCCGGTCCTTATGCTTGTGAGGCAGGCGGTGGAACCACTGAGCTAAATCCTGGCCCTCTGTTTTTAGTTTTTAGTTTTTAGTTTTTTTGAGGAATCTCCTTACTGATCTCCATAGTGGTTGAACTACTTTACGTTCCCAAGAACAATGTAGGAGGGCTTCTTTTTCCCTTGCAGCCTGACCAGCACTTATTATTACTTATTTCTTAATGATGGCCATTCTTTCTAGAGTGAGGTACTGTCTCAGTGTTGTTTTAATTTACATTTTTCTAATGGCTAGTGATGTTAAAAATGTTTTCATGTATTTATTTACTATCTGTGCTTCTTCTGAGAAGTGTCTATTCATTTCAATGGTCAATTTTTTAATTGGTGTTTTATTTTGGGGAGTCTAATGTTGTTTTACTTCTTTGCATATTCTAGGTGTTCATCTTCTGTCCAAGGAATAGCTGGCAAATTTTTTGCCCATTCTGCGGGTGGTCTCTTCACTCTGTTGGTTGTTTCTTTTGATGTGTGGAAGCTTTTTAATTTGATACAGTGCCATTTGTTGATTCTCTTACGTTATTTCTTATGTCATTGGGGTTCTTGCCTATGCCTTTGTCTTCAAGAGTTTTACCTATTTACCTTCCAGCAGACTGTTTCTGTAGGTCTTTGATTCATTTTGATTTTAGTGTGGTACCTGGTGAGATATGTGAATCTAGACTCAGTTTTTCTGCCTGTAGGTATCCAGTGTTCCCAGCACCATTTATTAAAGAAGCTGTCTTTCCTCCAGTCTATAATTTTAGCCATTTTTGTTGAAGATCAAATAGTTGGATGTGCCTGGGGTTGTTTCTGCCTCCTCTGTTTTGTTCCAGTAATTCATGTTTCTGTGGTTTTGCTAATACCATGCTGTTTTTATCACTGTAGCTTTGTAATATAACTTCACATCTGAACTTGCGATGCCTCCCACTTTGCTTCTGTTACCCAGAATTGCTTTTGCTTTTTTGGGTCTCTTTTGGTTCCATATGAATTTTTGGATTGTTTTTTCCCAGATCTGTGAGGTATGCTGTTGGTATTTTGATTGGAGTTGAACCAAATCTATCAGTTTTAGAAGTACAGCTATTTTGATTATATTGGTTCTGCCTATCCACGAATATGGGATATCTTGCCATTTTCTTACGACTTCTTCAGTCTACTTTTTCAGAGCAATGTAATTTTTATTGTAGAAGTCTTTCACTTCAAAAGTGAATGTAATTTTTCTTGTAGAAGTAGTAATTTTATTGTAGAAGCAATGTAATTTTTATTGTAGAAGTCTTTTCACATTCAAAAACGTGAGCAGGTTACTATTCAGGTATTGGTGAGTTCCCTCCGCCATTCTGCCCTCTGTATCCTGGGAAGACTTGCTTATTTCTACCTGTATCACTTCAGTATTCCTACTGTTTTCATATTTCCTCTGTCTGTCAGTCTGTCAGTCTTGTCTCCATCAAGCTATCAGAGCACAGACCTTTCAAAATTGTTCAGGGAACAGATCAATACAAATCCAGAGATATCAAGTCTGTTGTTTTGGCCTTTGATTTCCTTGGCTGTGTTATCTGTTGCTTACTTCTCAATGGCTTCTTCTGAAGATTTTGTTTTGTTTTTCCTTTGTAAATTTTTTAGTTCTGGGTCTGGATCCAGTTTGGAAAGTTAAGAATTCTAAATGAAAACTCCCTCAATAGCCCTGATTTTACAGCCATCCCTTTAGTGAAACTTCAGCAGAGGTTGAGAAACTTCATTTACAAATATTTTTCTCAAGGTGTGAAAGACACTGAAGGTTAGGAGATTAGATCTCTCTGAAGTAATGGTTTACATGATTTCTGCTGATTTTTCTTCCATTGCCTGATGAAGTCCTGTAATCTTCAAAGCTTTCTTGTTTAATATCTCATCATGGTTTGGTTTTGATCTTGGGCTGATTAAAACTGTACATTTGCCTTATGGTTTTTGTACTGTGCTTGTCCTAGCCATGTGGGCTCTGTGACACATACAAAGAGGGACAAGGAGGGACTCAGAGCTCATCTTGTTCAGCCTGCTCAATTTACACATGAGAGAGCTGAAACCTGTGGCTGCCACTCATCCACTGAGGTCAGCTGGCCATTCGTGTCAGCCTGGTGTTAGGGCCCTGCTCTACATTTTCCTCCCTCAGGGTTGCGTGGTCCTATCTCATTTTGCATGCATTATGAAATGTTTTACCTTTGTCTTCCTCTGTATGTTCCTCTCTCAGTTTCCTTTCTTTTGGCTGCTGTTGGCTTTGCTTGTTCTCCAGAGTGAGGTCCTACTGACCTGTACCTAGCATGCTATCAATGCTGCAGAAGACGAGTGACAGCTCGTTCCATATTGTGTGTTTCCCATGTTGTCTGTGATTGGTGGAAACTAGCAAATCTGTGCTTTCTCACTTTCCCTTTTTCCCCCTCTAGTCCTGCCTTATCCTTACCCCTCACCCACTCATCAGTGGGCAAAACATGTAAAAAAATAAAAGTTTAGAGAGCTATAGCAAAAGGATAATGACAATGCACTATCCTATATGGTAGGAGTTGGGACGTTGTTCAGGTGTCTTAGTCTTTTTGTGTTGCTGTGACAAAACTCCCGTGACCAAGTAATTTACAAGGAAAAGAGATGTGGGGGGTTATAGTTCTGGAGGCTAGAAGTCCACAGTGGGGTAGCCACATCTGTGAGGGCCTGGTGTTGCTGCCTAATGTAAACGTCAGAAGGGCCAGAAGATACATACAGAGAGCACAGAGTGGGAGAGGTGACCCTACTTTGTAGCAGTCCACTCTCCAGTAACCAATCCAGCCCTGAGAGCAAGAGCTCACTCATTCCTGTGATAAGTAAGCGGGCCCTCAAGAGCTGCATTAATGATCCAGACACCTCTTTTTTTATTGCTTTTGTTAGTATATGTTTGCAGTGCAGAGTGATCATGTGGGGTTGATGCATGTACCGAACACATCTTAATTTTTCTATATCCCTTTCTCCTCCCCCTTAAGTGAATTTTTTATCAGTATATGTTTACCGTCCATAATGATTATATTTGTTGTGGGGAGTTGGTATGCTTATATAACACATCTTAATTCTTTTTCTGTCCTGTTCCCTGTTCTTCCCCTCCCTCCCCACCACCTCTCTTTCTTGGTCTCCTTCCCTTTTGTAAAAGTTGTATCTCCCTGTTTCCTCTTATCTATCTTTTATTTTTCTCTTTGTTTATACTCTGGTTTCCCATATAAGAGAAACCACTCAATATTTAAGCTTGTATGATGTGTCTGATTCATTTCACTTAACATTCTGGTCTTGAGGTGCATCCTCAAACACCTCTTTTAGCCCCCCCCACACCACCACAGAGGCAATCAAATTTCATCGTCAGTTTCAAGGGGACAAACTATTCAAACCTTACCTCCAAGCCAGGGAGGACTCAGAGGGATTTTCTTGATGCCAAACATACGTGGTGCCTGGCATGATCAGGCACATGGCTGCAATCCCAGCATTTTGGAGGCTGAAACAGTAAAATTGCTGTGGGTTTGAGGCTATCCTGGGCTACATAGTGAATTCAGGGCCAGCCTGAAGTACATAAGGAGACCCTATCTCAATCCCTTGCCCCCCCGCAAAATGTACATAGCATGCAGATTGTTTACCTAGTTCATTTTCTAAAGATCCATTTATTTGTGTGTTATATAAGATTAGTATTATAGGTTTAGATCTAAAATGTCCCCAAGTCTCATATTTGAAAAGTATTTGGATTATGGAGCACTGTACTCATCTGGGGATTCATCCATTGATGGTTCAGTAGCTAAGTATACTGCAGTGCTGAGGCCTGGGTGGTGGTGGGTCATTGGGATGTGACCTGGAAGGGTACAGTCTTATTCCTAGCTCTTGCCTTCTATTCTTCCTGGCTGCCATGAGTTGAGCAGCCTCCTGTGCCATGCCCTCCCACCATGCCATTTCTGCCTTGGAGCCAGGAAGCCATGGACTGAACCCACTGCTTCCTTGAGTCGTGAGTGTCCAGTATTTTGTCCCAGAGACAGGAAAGTGCCTAAATCAGTTAGTCAAAGTACAAGTTCCTACATAAATGTTGTCAACTGTTTTTACCTTAGGAATAGCTTTGGGAGGGCCCGCAGAGGTCCTGGGTTGCTGGCAGGGCCACTGAGGACAGTGTTCCTAGGCTGTGTGGCTGTGTGGCCAGACTTCTGGCCATTCCAAGAGACGTGATGCTGAATGGCCGCTTCTCCAAGTGGCATACACATGCTGCCTCTTGCTCCAGTCTTGTTACCTTATTTCCCCTTCTCTCCATCTTGGCAAATAGGCCCAAGTTAAGTAATGAAAATGAATGGGGAAAGCAGCCCAGAGCCTGCCTTCTCCTTCAGAGTAGATGGCATGCCCAGAATGATTCTGTCTTGGCAACTTCCAAGGGATTTATCCTTGACCTAGTAAAGGCTGCCCTGCATGTCTGTGTAAAGGCCTAAATTTAATTGTGACTACGTGTCTCTCAGCTCATATGTGTGAGTTCAGATATGCCATCTGTGTGGTAGTGTTGATCAGTTTCATGGGGGCTGGGGGGGACGTACCTGCAGTTCTTTTTAGAGTATAACAAAGAAGGTCCTTGCCTCTCTAAGCATCTACTCAGGATGCTTTTGGCTCCGAGTAATAGGAAAGCCACGTGAAACTGTCTTCAGCAAATGCAGACAGGGTGGCTCCAAGCCTGGCCATTTCAGCAGCTCAGTGGCATTCAGAGACCCAGCCTGTCCCTCTTTCACTTCAGCCATCGTCAGCAGGTGGTCCTGGCCTGGGCTTCTCTGCCCTAATGGTCTTGGCGTGGACATGCAGTGGTGGGCAGTGAGCACTGCAGGGATCACAGGTGTGTGCCACCACAGCCAGTTTCAGTACTTCTTCAAGAGGCCCCTCACAGGTAAAATACCCGTATTTCCTGATTTTCCTGTATTTATCACCCTTTGTATCCTCTATCTCTGACTTCTTTGAGCTAAGATCATGTTAATCACGTTTTCTTGACAGCTGCAAATGATCCAGAAGATCCACCATCTTTTAAAGTAAAAGAATAAAGAAATCCCCTTCTCCCTTCCCATTCTCTTGCCTTCTGCTTCCATACATTGTTTTTTTGAAAGTAATTCTGAACTGAGTCTGGTGGCACACACCTGTAATCTCACACTCGGAGTCTGAGGTGAGGGGTTGGCAAGTTTAAGCCTGGCCTGGGCAATGCAGCAACAAGACCTCGTCTCAAACAGGAGGAGGGAGACTGGGGCTATGTGGCTCAGTGCAAAGGCCTGGGGTCAATCCCCAGTATGGCCGGGGACAGGGGTAATTATGCCTTAGGTTTGAAATTTGCTTAGAGATAATTTCATTCTAGATTTTCCTAAGAGAATTTAAACAACAATCAAGAGAAGCAGTAGCTAAGAGGGATTCTCAGGGGCCCTGTGACCTGAGGAGATATAAATGTGCTGCTGTTAGACGACTTCTGGGCTTTGTTCAAAGAATTATACTTCCCTAAGGTTCTATCTCTTGCACTAATTACTCAGTTCCGACTGTTTCTGGTGAGTAAGCGGTGATCTTATATGATAGTTTCTGAGGTAGCGTCTTAAATGCCAGCTCTCCTCCCAACAAAGACCTTCTGACTATTTCTTTTTTTTCCCCCTTATTTCTTTTGAAATCAAGCTTGCTCTTAATGTCTGATTCAAAATTATGGCTCCTAGATGGAAGGTTTAATAAAGAAAATAGAACATGCAATTTTTAAATATGTCTCTTAAAACTGCAACACAGAAGAGAAACAGTATTGGTTTCTGCGTTGCTGCTTACAGAGCCCAAGGTCTCCATTGGAAGCCCACCAGGAGGGGTGCCGTCTGCAATTCTGGAAACCTGAAGGGCAGGCCGAGGGAGAGTGGACAGAAGGGAAAGCTGTCTTGCAGGCCCGCTGAGCTGCCTGTCTGTAGGTCGGTTGTGTGGGTGAGGCTTGGGGATGAACTCAGTGTTCTCAGGCTGTGATAGCAGTACCCGCGTGCTACCCAGCATGGCTCCTCCATCGCGTACCCCTGGTAGTTGGGATCTTCAGTGGGGACTTGACAGAAATACCTGAGGGTAGATTGGCCCAAGTGAGTAAAGGTATCAGGGTTCACAGTACAGAAAAGTGGCCAATTCCATACTTCACTCTTTTCCTTAACCACTGTTAACTGTCTTTGACAGAAATGGTATTTTAGTGAGTATTTCTATTAGAATGCACTTGAAATACTACATTTAAAAGTCTCAAGGTTGTAGCTAGGTGTGGTGGTACACACCTGTAATCCCAGATACTCAGGAAGCTGAAGGAGGAGGGTTGCTACAAGTTTGAGTTTGAAGCCACTGTGGACTACATATAGTGAGTTCAAGGCCAGCCTGAACTACAAAATAAAATAGGGCCAGGATTTAGCTCAGTGGTACCTCGCACCTACCTGGCAAGTGCAGGGTCCTGCATTTGATCCCCAGTATCAAAAAAGAAAAAAAAAATAATAAAATCAAGGCTTCTTTCCAGAAGTCAACAGACAGTTGTCACAAGCCTCTTAACCCTAAAGGAGGCAGATATGATATGTGAAAAAAAGCCTGGATGGGGTTTGTCATTACCTCCTGGAAGGGCCACCTGTATACCTTCTCTCACCTTTTGTAGGCAAAGACCCCAGGGCAGTAGTGGGTTTGTACCTCTTGAGGTGCTCCTGCCCTTTCCCTGCTCCCCCAAAGGATCCTGATCCTCATTAGAGCAAGGCCATGAGAGGCCCTCCCCACTCCTGCCCTGCAGTGTCACCAGCCTCAGCAGCCCTGCTCCTCTCTGTCCTTTTGCTTGCCGGCCAGTCCAGCTCCAGCCCCAGGACTCCCTGCCTGCTGTCCCTCCTGAGTGACCCAGCTCTGTGGAGCCCTCAGGAGATGCACAGGAGCTCCTTCCCCCAACACACACTGACAGTGTATTCCCTGAGCGCGGAGGGGAAGGGGGGCCAGGAGCTGCATGACCCTGGGCAGGTTCCCCAGGCCTCAGTTCCCCATCTGCACAGTGGAGTAACGGTAGGGTCCTCACCCCCAAGGGGCCAGGAGGACTCAGAGGTCACAGGCTAGGGGTATCTTAGTCCACAGCCTGGAGCACACACACGCGTGCTCCAGTGAATTGATTACCGCTGCTCTGGACAGTGACACCATCCATGTAGGTGATTGTAAAGGTCGATCGGGCCAGGAGTTCTGATGCAGGCCAAATCATAGGTCATAAAATTTTAGAGTTGGACCTAAGAGGAAACCATAGAGAAAGCTGTGGTCCCATGTCATGCCCTGAAGGTAAATTTAATGGTACTGCAAACCAGGCAGCCACCATCACACAGAAGCCATTCAACAGCCATCTGCTAACCTCAGCGGGGAAGAGCATTTGCAAGAGGAGATTGCATTGAAGACGGCAGTGTTAGCCAGCAGTTAGTTCCCCAGCGACTTCTGATGGACCTGTTACTTTACCTGGAAATGGACTCTGATTTATGTGCTTCTCTGTAACTTTCCGAGAAAGAAGCAGCTGATTAGAAAAACCACAAGTGTCCTCTTCTCCAAACCTTCACTGTCAGAGTTTAGAAATAGAACAGATTCAGATATGGTTTTGGATACGTCCCTTTCTGAGCACGCCTCGCCCTTCCAGATATCCAAAATACAGGCATCAGATGCATTTAGAGAAAGTAGGGACCTGGCCGTCACTCTGAGCTGTCATTGGCTAAACTCAGGAATGGAATAGGTGTGGGTAGTTGGCGCCCCTCAGAACTGATTTTTATGAGTTAAACTTGATTAATCAAAAGAAAGTAGATAAAGTAGTGTTCATCCTTTTTTTACACTGAATTCCAGAGCAGAATAAAAATTACAGTGTAACCTTTCTTCCAGCAAGGTTCCAGGTTGGCTGGGCACTGTGGCACATACCTGTAATCTCAGAACTTGGGAGGCTGAGGCAGGAGGATCGCCATGAGTTGGAAGCCAGTCATAGGGAGTTGAAGGCCAGCCTGAACTACATAGTAAGACTATCTCAAAAGAAAAAAAAGAGAGGGAGCTCTGAGGATTTAGCTCTGGTGCCACCACCTGCCTGGCAAGTGCATGGTCCCAAGTTTGATCCCCAGAACCATCGCCACCGTCCCCACCCCTGGAAAAAAAAAAAGAAAAAGAAAAAAACGTGGACAGGCTTACAGAGGTAGGAGGGCTTGGTGACCAGATCTCACTTCTAGGGAGAGGTATGACACCCAGAACTGGTCTAAGGAGGAAACTCCAGCCAGCCTGTTAGCCACATTGCCTACCTGCTGTCACTTCTGCAGTGGACTCTAATGGAATTGTCACTGCCATGGTCCCCAGGGGATCCCAGGAGGTGCGCACTGCCCTGCTCTGTCCCTGCGTCCCGGCCTGAGTTCCTCCTTGCTGCTGAGTTCCAGTCCACACCACACAGGCACAACCTTAGGCCCAGACCCAGCCAGTGAGATGCCCGTTTCTCCTCTGGGCATTTGAGATTCGAGGACAGGCAGGCTCTTCAGAGGGCACGGGAGCCCCAGACATTCTCAGTGCCACCCAGGCAGTGTCTTTCTCTGAGTCGTGACCTGCTGAGAGTGGTAAATTGATTTAGTAGGTCAAGGCCCCTTCCTCTTCTACTCCCGCTCTCCTTCTATAAAAGAGGAAGGAGTTGTGTGTCGCTTGTGTCCGGGTTCCATCATGTGGAATCTGTCTGAACTGGCTGCCGTCTCTGTCTGCTGTGTTCCCAGTGTGTTTTGTTTCCATGTGTCAGACAGAAGCCACTGTGCTGCAGAGTTCACCGCATCTCACTTGTTTTCAAGGCACAGTGTTTGCCCTCTTTCTCTCGCTCTGTGACCCCCTGGCTTTCCCACTCACTGGCCCCACTCTTTGAAGAGTCTTTTTTTTTTTTTAGGGTCTTACTAAGTTGTCAAGGCTGAACTCAAACTTGTAATCTTCCTGCCTCTGCCTCCTAGCGGGCTGATTACAGGTGTCAGTGTCCAACTCCCCCACCCATACACAGGCACACTTGGGCTGCCCTGAACACTTTACCTGCCTCTGGGACAGCTAGGGGATTTCACTTGTGAAGTTACAATATGTATTTTCACTCACACACACACACACACACACATACACACACCAAAGAAGCAAAACAAAGGTCAGTTTGGTGACCTACTTACTACTACAACATTGTTTCCATGGGAAGTGCTTTTCCACTTGTGCAGAGGAAGTTCAGGACTCTGGGTTGTGGAGATAATGCCTGAGATGTTGCAGTGCCTGTTGCTACAATGTGGGTAAAGGATTTCAGCCTCAAAATGTTCTGTAGTCTAGAGGAAACAATGGAGAGCTGTTTCTTACTATCTATATGTGGATGTTCTGCCCTGTCTAGTTTTTGTCTCCCTTTTCAAACCAGTTCATTCTAACTTTGGTTTCTGTCTACAGGTCCATTTACCCGACCTCATCCAGCCATATGGCGAATGGTTTTTGGTGAGTTACTATTAGTAGATGTAAAAAGGTATTGTTTTTCAAAAATTGTTTTTGAAATTGTAGCAGTTTTTTTTTTTATTTACACAACTCCACCATGAAAATTTTTAGTTTTTTACTTTTTGGTATTCCTAGCATAATTTCCTCTACTAAGCTTCTTTAGCATAAAGTACTGAAGAAAGTTTAAATTCTCTAGAGTGGGAGCTGTTCTTGCTCCACCTGCCCCCCCTCCTGATGTGCTCAGGATTATATTTAGGCAGGTATTGCTGGTTAGCATCATGGAGCCGTAGGGACATCCTGTGAACACATCTGTCCTCTCGGCATCCAGGAGGGAACGAAAACCCAGCAACCCCATGTCTTGGGAATGGGAAAGAACTTGGAAACAGGAGGTCTTTTGACAAAGAGCCCTCATTTGAACTCAAGTTTGTTGATAAGCATATAAACACAGGGTATCGTATTTTTACCTCATTTCGTGGTACTTAAAGTCCAAATCATCTGAGGAGACTTAAAATAAATCTTGCAAACTTTATTTAGCTTTGTCTTGTCTAAATAAGATATCAAAGAAATTATTTTAGGTTTTGGAAAATGTAATCTTGTGTGCAAATGTAAAAAGACTCTAATGGATAACTTGTCAAAGTCTGCCTGTTTTGCTTTCAGCTTTCAGAGATCATAGGTAACTCAGCTGTTAGCTAACGGGTTGTGACAGGCACTGCGCAGGCCCAGAGGCCACCAGGGAGAACCAGACTGACAAGGCCCTGCCCTTGCAGTAAGGGAAGGGAGGCCAGCTATTGAGAACAAACTATGAAGTCAGTAATCAAAAATTATCACTTGTCACTAAGTGCCAGGAAGTTGGTTAAAACTGGGTGAGGTGACTTTATCTTGTGATGAAAGGAGGCCCAAGGGACTTACACTTAATCTAAAAACCTGGATGCAAAGAAGGATCTAAGTGTACAGGGATTTGGGGGAGGGGACATTCCAGGGGAAGAGAAAGGCTGCTAAAATAGCCACTGGTTCAGAAAGAATGTGGCACCCCAGCCAGCCCGGCCTAGGAGGGGAGAGGAAGAGGGCAGTCCTGGAGCTGGACAGAGGTGGGAGGGAGCGTGAGGCTGTGGGCCAGGGCTTACCCGTGTGTGGGTGCAGAGGACATCCGGACCACTGACAGTTTAAAAAACATAATCCTGACTGTATCCTGCTTGCCTCCTGCCTCTCAGGGACTTAATCAAGTGGTGCTTGAAGTTGTAAGTGACTTTCAGCTAGTTGGACACATCTGATTTTTGTCCTATTCGGTGATCATTGTAGGTAATGAGCATTTTTATTTCTTATCTGAGAGCTTTTATGGGGCTCTTTGATAAACTGACGAGATTTTTAGTGAAATGGCATTCACAGGGCCGGCAGAAGAGATCGATACTCAAATATATTCACCAGCTAACAAGCCCACCCAGCAGAAGTCACCTTCTGAGCCTCGGCCCCATTTCTAAATTTGTTCTCCTGTTTATCTATTCTTTAGCCAGGGTGGGGGAGCAAGCAGAATTTTACAGAAGCAGAATTTAGCAAAGGGTAGGGAGGTGGAGGTAAATGTTTTTATACCTTATCTTTAAGACACAGGGAGGTTGGCAGGCGTAGTGACCTTCCTGGGTGTCACAGGGGGGCAAGCCTTAGACAGGAACTGTCAGTCTCTGCCAAGCTTTGAGACCATTAAGTCTCTGCTCTGACTTTTGTTTTTTCCATTTCAGTAGACCCTTCCCCAGCACACAGGCATACACTCACATCTACATAATTCTGCTTAAAGTCACCAAGGCTTCACAGGCCTCACAGCCCAACCCTGAAGTCTAGTTTTAAAAAAACCTCTGTATCCTGCCTGCCTGTAATCCCTGCATTCTGGGAGGATGAGGCAGGAGGATCGTAAGTTTAAACCAAGCCAGTGCAATTTAGCAAGCCCCCATCTCAATAAATAAATAAATAAATAAGGGCTGGGGATACAACTCAGAGTGAAGACTCTGGGTTCAGTCCCCAGTACCACAAACAAAAAAACACCACCTTCACCACAGGCAATTTCTGTCTTGCAAGAGTCATTTCAACACGACCCTAATTTGAGAAAGGACTAGTTTGATTTAAGGTGAAAATGTGGAAGGACAGCAGATGCAAAAGTGCACAGCTGAGGTAATTCGCACACCGGAGAGGTGCTCCTTCCCCCAGGACCTACCTGAACACTGGCCCAGGAAGCCGCTGAGCTGCGGCATGCACCTACGCTGCGTTTCCTGTCCAGCGCAGACCCTGGACATTCCCTTCTCCTCTGCAGCTCGGTGGAGATTAGCACTGAGCCAAGTTTGGATGGGGAACTGTGATCCAAGGTCACTGGTCTCAGTGTTGAGATGCCCCCCATCAACATTTTAAATGCAGGGATTCAGCAGAAATAAATGACCGCGCTCCAGTTTGTTTCACATCTTTCTGAAATGTAATATACAGGCCTTCTTGAAATGTGTCACTAGCTTTTCTTTTTTAAACGACACGGTGTGGTTATTGGGATAGCAATTATGATACAATGTGACAATAAACAAGGCCTGCAAGGGCTGATCTGGAGGGTGAGTCTCACTCAGATGAGTGGCCCTGAGCCCCGTGGTACCCCAAACCTGGAACACAGAAGTGGCCTCCAGATGAGTAGCCCCACGCAGCCTCAGCCTGGCTCTCCTCTCGCCTTCTCACTCAGCTTCCTGAAATGGCACGTAGATATCTTACTGGCTTCCTGCAGAGAAAGTCGGAATCTTTGCTGTGGCCCCCAAGCCCGTCTGTCACTTAGTAGCCCTTTCTCGAACACTGCAGCCACTTGTAGGTCCTGGACGTTTCTGTCTTGCAGTGCCTGCTTTCAGGGCCTTCAGGCTTCAGCTCCAGCATTGTTTCCTCAGAGACAGTTGTACCGACCCCCTCAGGCTAAATTGGGGCTGGGCCGGGCCTCCCTCATTAAAGAAAATACCAGGTGGGTGATTGTGTTAGGGCCTCAACGGGCTGTGTGGCAGTGTTTGTGCAAGTAGTGTCAGTAAGCACTGGTATCTAATGTATGTTGTGCGTCTTTCTAAACTTGAGCCTGTTTGTGTTTCTTTCAGGTCTCAGTGTGCTCTATTTCCTGTTCCTGGTCTTTCTCCTCTTCCTGAATTTCGAGCAGGTTAAATCCCTAATGTATTGGCTAGACCCAAATCTTCGATACGCCACCCGGGAAGCGGATGTCATGGTAGGTACTGGTCTATGGTCTCATAGAGAAACAGGTGGACTCTCAGGTGTAGGAGGTAGTAGACTTTGCATCCTTTCAGGTTGCTCCTCCGTATTGCCTGTGCAGACCGCTAAAAACCACAACTCTGTGTGGACGTTGAATGACATGGTTTTCCAGAAGCGAGGCAGTCCTAGGAAATGAAATCTCATGAAGCAGAGGTGTATGTGGGGGTGGGAATCAGCATTGTCACCAGACAGCTTGGGCCTAAATTTTGCCTCTGTCGCTTGTCCACTGTTGGACTTTAGGTGAAGTATTCACTAGCCTGTCCCTTTTAAGAAATAAAAACAGTAATATATATTTTGAGGGCTCATTATAAGTGAAGCCAAGTGACGACATCCATGTGGCCCAGCAGGAAGCCAACACAGGATTTATCTGCTTCTGCCCCTCGGCCCCAGTGGCGCAAGTCCCCACTATAATGACTCGTTTGTAATTAAACCACATGAGACATTTTTTATGCTTGGCTAAGACTCTCTATTTTGACTTACCGAAGAGACTACTCATATGCAAAAAATCAGCTTTTTCTTCTTATGCTCTCTGTCTTATTAGTGCCTCTTGCTACTGACACACAGTAGCCAACACCTATAAATTAAAGGAGGAAAGGTTTATTTTGGCTCACAATTTGTAAAGGTTTCAGTCTGTAGTTGGCTGGTTCCGAGGCAGGACAGAAGCTGCTCACATCTGGGTAGAGAAGCAGGGAGCAAAGGAAGGAGCCACACCATGACCACCTCTTCCGACCAGGCCCTGCCTCCTTCAGCAAGCCAGGGAAGGGCCCTGTAAACCCATCACCTTCCCAAACCCTTGCCTATGCACCAAGGCTCTTGCAGGACATCTAGGTCCGGCCACATCCCTCATCCTAAACACCTCTGTGACCAGTTAGTTGTGTGGGAGTTTCCCACACCAGTTAATTCTCGAGCTGTCCTGACGTCAGCTGAAGGATGGAGGGTTTCATTCCTGTCTGGTGCTACCTGGAGTCCATGTCAAATCCCACAAATGTAGGGCTCAGTCCGATAGGACTACCCACATTTTAGATCTGTTCTGACCAGCCAGCCGCAAACCAGAAATTCCCAGAATATTCACTTGTTATGATGGCTCACAGAAGGCAGGGAAATACTGAGGTTTCCCAGGTTATCCCAAAGGATGCGATACAGGACACAGATGAGCAGCCACATGCTGAGATGCACAGAAAGAAGCCCGGAGGCTCCCACACTCCCCATGGAGTTCGGGTACACTATGTGACCACCACCTTCCTCAAAGCTCTCCAGATGCTGCAGATCAGGGGCTTACATAGAGAGATCATTGCATGGACATGAACTGTTACTGACATCTCCGGTCCTCTCCCCTCTCTCAGGATGAGGGTGGGTCTGAAGGCTTTAAGCCTGTGCGTAGGCTTGGTTTTCTGGTGCCAAGAGTTACCTCACAAGAACAGAGAATGCTCGTCACTAGTGATTAGGGCTTAAAACCAATAGCAGAACAAAAGATGCTTCCGGTAACACCCTTACACTTAGGAAATCACAAGGGCTTTTAAAAGCTTCGTGCCAGGAACCAGAGCCAGAGAGAAAGACTAAAATCAAATCACACTATTTTATACTGTAATGTCTGTTTTGTTTGTAATGTCTAATATTTGGTACAGGTTGAAGAAAACCTGGTGATGCTCAAGGGAATTTCAATGACATACAATACTTGCTTTGACAAACAAGAAATACCATGAAGGGACTTAATAAAAGGTCCAAGAAGTGATCATTTCACCATAGCTGATGCTGGACAGGTCTTTCTTGGGAGGGTGTTTCTAAATTTTTAGCCTTCTTAAGAGACACTGTTAAACAAAAATAAGATTGCAGAATTTGTAAGTCAGAGGAAGAAAAGTCCGGGGATTCCTGAGTCTAAGGAAAAGAATGGCAAAGGATGACCAACAGCTCATAATGATGACAATATTTGTATTAATCAGTCTAATATTGATGTAACAAATTACCTGAGCTAACCATTTATAAAGAGGAAAGATTTATTTTGGTTCATAGTTGTGGTGTAGTTGATGATTGTTTGGGCCTGTTGCTTTGGGGCCTGTGGCAGGGCGGCACATCTTGGTGCGAGCCTGTGGCAGTCACCTCTTATCAGCTGGGAAGCAGGAGATGAGACTGGCTTCCCACAGTCCTCAGAGGATACAGCCCCAAACCCTGGAGCCTCCTACCAAGTCCACCACGCACGGATTCCCCCTTCTTCAAATACACCCAGCCTTTACTACAAGGCCCCCTGGGGATATTCCAGACCCAAAGTATAGCAGTGGTGAAACTGAAAACAGTAGGGGTAAGAGCAATTCCTGAGACTGCTGGGCGCTTGATATATGTTCTGTATAAGCCTGGTGCGTGCATATAGGTATTCATACCATGTCTTACAGAGGAGGAAAAAGCAGCTTAAAATGCTGTTTGTCCTGCTCAGAGCACGAGCTGATAGCCCTCACCAGCCCCCAAACTGGCTCCTTTCTTTTCAGCTGTGCTTTAAGTATATAGTTTTACGTACAAAGTATTTCCATGCTGACAGGAATCTTAACAGTGATTGTCCCAGTACAGTATTTTCCAAAACAACTTTTGTAAGCTTTTTGAGCAAAGTGAACCAGCATGCAGGGAGTCTGCTGCTGTCTCCCTTGATCTGGTGTGATGTGAAGAAGCCTTATGGAATAGTGCTCTTTCCATGTAGCATTCCTAGGGATTTGACAATGCAGGGACACCTGAATGTCACCGCCGTAGCTCCAAGATGGCTGCAACTGTCCTTTAAAAGCTCCTTTTCCTGTATTGGCTAATTTTTTCTTGCCATGCCAAAGCTTGAGGCCTCTAGAGTTCTGGCCGACGACTGAAATGCCCCATCTTTACCGTCCCTCCTCACTTTCCACTTCCTTAAAACAGTTTTGCGCGATTCTGAGGACCTATTCATTGGTGGCTGTGGAGAAATACCTCTTTTATAGGATCTGTGGAAAGGGACAATTTATTTCATATGAGACAGAAAGTCTGTGATTCACTGGTTCCTGAGTTCATCCAGTTTCCCCACTTCACCCTGCCACCCATTCCTAACCCCGATAGATTCTGGCCAGTGAAACTCAGGCTCCTTTTTACCCTTAGAATTTCTGTTATAAATTCAGTTGAGGTAAGAGACATTACTGAAATCCTATTAGAAGCGAAGTTTTAACCAAATGTGATGGTTCATGCTGCCTGTAATCCCAGGACTCGGGAAGGCTTCTTGAAGCAGAGGGATTCCGAGTTTGACATGAGCTTGGACAATTTAGCAATTTAGATCCTATCTTGAAATTTAGGAAAGGGCTGGGAATGCAGCTCAGCAGGAAGGAAGTGGGTTCAATTCCACAATACTACAAAAAAGTTTTTTTTTCTTACTGTCTAGATGTTTTGCTTCTCTTTCAAATATTGATTCTGGGCTGAGGGTATATAGCTGAGTGGTGGCATGTGTGTTTAGTATTCACAAGGCCCTGGGTTCAGTCCTTAGCTCCAAAATAAAATAAATATTGATTCTGTGTAAAAATATGTGTCCTAAGGCTCTGCCACACTCTGAGAGCAAACATCATCTGTAAGTGTTTGTCTGCAGCAGCGGCCTTTTGTGTAGTAGATACAACAGAACCTCTTCCAGAGGGGCGCAGGCGAGCTCATGTACCCTGGACTCTTGGAGTGTGGGGTCCACACAAGGCAGACTGAAAGGAATCATTGTTGGCTATTGAACCCTAAGACAATTTCAACATTTAGAAAAATTTAAACACGTGCAAGAGTGGAAAGACTCCTCAGTCCCCATGCGCCTAATTTTGCCTGTACTGAACATAAACTTTTTTCTTGTCAGTTATTCCCTAAACAGTTACTCCCTAAAGTTATTTACACAGCAGTTACAAGACATCAGGTATTATCAGTAGTCTAGAGATTATTTAAAGTGAATGGGAGACTACATGTTATGTACCAAGTTGACACTATTTTGTATAAGGGACTGGAGAATCCAGATTTTAGCATCCTCAGGGTATCCCGGAACCACTGTAGACTGGGGTGCCCCAGGGCCTTCCCAGGACCAGAGGACTTCAGAGGGCTCTCACTAGTAATTCTAATGCTAATGTGTGCACTTTGCTTTTTATGATTTTTTAATGTGCCCGACTATAATTGAAGCTGAGAAGTACAAAGGCCTCCACTTGTGATTCCACTTTGAAAGCAGACCTGCTCCTTTTCTAGCCCTAAGCAGCCTGTTCCAGAGGAAAGGAAGGGTAGTGAGATGGAATTTGGGGCTGGAGGAATCTTGTCCTTCTCCTCAGCCTGATACATCCATCACCCCTTCAGCCTCAGGGTGTTGCCCTGTCAGCTGAGGGCAGACTGTTCTCCTCATGGAGCCTCATTTGTACTGGTCCCTAGTGGATTTTGTCCTCCTTTCTCCACATTTCCCACTCACACTTTGTAATATATTTTATAGGAATTTTTTCTATTTAGTTGATAATAGATATTTTCCAACTCTTACTGCTTCCTATCAGATTAGTTTGGGGGAGAAAAAGGATATGGAATGTAGGGATTGCTGAGAAATTTACCGTCGTACTGGGGAGAAAAAGGATATGGAATGTAGGGATTGCTGAGAAATGTACCGTCGTACAACCATAACTGCTTTGCTTCAATAAAGGATGTATTCAAAACAAACAGATACTGAAAACGGAGTCCAAATTCCTCAATGTGTTACGATGTTTTTGCACTTAAATTATGTAGCATCTGATATATTTTGAGATGGGAGATTATTCCACTTTTTCTTTTCATTTCTGAAGCTGAGTGATTCAGTTCTTTTCTAGGACAAGCATTTAAGGCTTTATGTTTTCCTTAAACTTCCACTTAGCTAAAGCACTGCAGTTTTCATATGTGGTATTTTTAGTATTACTGATACTTAGTTTTTTAAAATTTAAAAAAAATACGGTTTTCTGTTTAACGTATGATTTCTAGAATTTCCAAACCTATTGAGATTCTTGAAGTTTCTGTTACTGCTCTCTGGTCAGGTGACGTGATCTGTGAGATCCCACTTATTTAAGACAATGTAAAACTTTGGAAAATTAGTTTGCTTTCATTTTAACCCCATGTTTGCAATTCAGAGCAAGGCATGTCTTGCCTCTAAACTCTTAATATTTGTCCAGAAATTCTGTTTTTAAAACTTTTTATATTGAACATGACATACATCATCTGACCAGATCATATTTGTTCATTTGCTGTTTGAATCCTGGAAGCAGCTTGGTTTCCGGAGTTCCATCAGTAAGTCCCTTTCTGTATGACATAGGAGTACGCCGTGAACTGCCATGTGATCACCTGGGAGAGGATCGTCAGCCACTTTGACATATTTGCATTTGGGCACTTCTGGGGCTGGGCCATGAAGGCCTTGTTGATCCGGAGTTATGGGCTGTGCTGGACCATCAGTATTACTTGGGAGTTAACGGAGGTAAGACGGGGCTGGGGGGCCACCAGGACTACACATCTGCACATCTGTGTCTGAAGAAGAGACTTAATCAGGCTACAGTCTCATCGCCAACTTCAAGTTCAAAAGTGTGTTTACACTGCCTCCTGAGAATATTCTATACCCTTGTTTAAAAAATAAAGCATATTCTCATTTATTTAATAAAGTATGCTCTATCTCCCAAGTCTTAAGGTGACACAGATAAAAATCAAACTGAAGAAGGAAGTTAAAATCACAAGTGAGACAAATGGCCATGAGGAGATCTGCTTAGAAATAAATCTGCTTCCCCATGCAGTGCTTTCCAGTCCAAGAGAAGTAGAATTAGGTGTCCAGCCATTCCAAGGGTATCCAAAGATATAGCTGAAAAATGGATTTGTAGTAGAGCTCTGTGTTTCAATGATCAAGTTTGTCAAATTGAGAAGAGAGTATACTCTTAAAAACTTATTAGCAAAGTTGAAATGTGGAGAACTAATTCATCATTGTGCAGGCTTATATTGTTACTAGTCATTCCTCGAGAAGAAAACTTGGCTCCATCCACAGTCTACTTCCCCTTCCCGAGGCCATTTAGGTCTTCACGCAGCAGAGTTTGGCTGTTCTGGACGCTGGCCACACCTTATGTTTTGGACGAAACAGTTTCCGTGCCACCCTTGATCTTCCTGTGGCCCCATCTGGAGCATTCCCATCATGGAAGGCCTCTTGAAATCAGCCGTCCCTGTTCTTACTGTCCCCACTCCGACATGTCCTTCTAGACCACTCCTGCAGTTGTCCCTAGAAGGGATCTGCTTTGTGCCCTCCGTACTTCATTTATGTCTCCACGGTAACACTTGCCACTTCCTTGGTGGTTCCGGTTGGGCTGCTTCCCCTTGAGGCCCACGGCCTTGTTTTCCTTTGCTCTTCGCACACAGTGCGATAAGAGCAGCACCACTGTGACTTGGGGAGGGTGAGACGGCCTTTGCAGCTGTCACCAGAGCTAACCCTTGGCTTTCACAGCTCATCACTGATTTACCCACAGAAATGGAGTATTTCTGACCTTTAATTTTTTTTTCACATTAAGTTTATTGGTACATTTTAGGTGTACAGTATGGTTACATTCATCATTGGGATCTTGAACCTTACCTTTACGTGATGTATCTTGGTTCTTTCTATTTCCCCATTCCCCTACCCTCCCTTCACCCCTCCACCCTTCCCTATTTAAAAGGACTTTGTTTCTTCCATTTTTTCCTTTTCTTGTATTGTTTTCTTTTCCCTTCTTTCCTTTCCCTTACCCTTCCCACTTCTCCTCCTTTAGACCTTTTCTTCCTATTTCACATTAACTGAGCTTAAATTCTTAGGTCAACAATTTTGAGGATTGATGGCGATACTTTGTGGTTGGGAATGAAAACTTTATTCCTTTCTCCCTCCTGGATCCTTGTGTCATCATTGGCCAAGGTGATCCCTTGGTAATGTATTTTAAAAGAGGTGCCGTCTTGTCTGTAAAGCCCAGTGTTTAAAAAGAAGCACTATTTGGATAAAGTTTCCAAATCCTCTGCAATATAAATACAAGAATCAGATTACAGGCTGTAGTACTGTTTTTCTATACATTAGGAAGAAATGAAACAACTCTCTGGAACAGTGTGCTATAAAATACAAAAGAGAGTGTATCTTTCTGCATGATACTCCAGTTTTGTCATTGTCCTAGTCATGGTCTGTGCTCCCCAGCTTTTCTTCATGCATCTCCTGCCCAATTTCGCTGAGTGCTGGTGGGACCAAGTCATCCTAGACATCCTGCTCTGCAATGGTGGTGGCATCTGGCTGGGCATGGTCGTCTGCCGGTTTTTAGAGATGAGAACCTACCACTGGGCAAGCTTCAAGTAAGTCCTCCCCTCCAACACTAGTTACAGTGTCGCCTAAGGTATGCTTAAGTGCTGTACTAGAAATCATCTTGAGTACAGTCCTTTGGTTTTGTTTTGTTTTTGAAATAGGATCTCGTTGGGTACTTCAGGCTGGCCTTGAACTCTGTGTAGTCTAGGGTGGCCTTGAACTGATAATCCTCATGCCTCAGCCTCCCAAGTGCTGGTATCACAGGCATGTGCCACCACACAGCCTTGAGTATAGTCTTTAATGACGAGGAAGAAATTCCACATGAGCAGTTGAAACTCATAAATGATTATAAACCTAATTTTAAGCATTCACCCTGAAAATGCTAAATCGTTTGTGATTTTCTCTTTTTCAGTTTGTTTATTTAGAGAATTCTAATACCTCACCCACCACCCTTTTTTTTTTGGTGGTGGTACTGGGTTGTGAGTTGAGGGCCTTCACACAGAACTATATTCCTGGCACCCCCTCCACCTTTTTTTCTTTTCAGATAGGATCTTGCTATGTTGCATGGGTTCAAACTCGTGATCCTCCTGCTTCAGCCTCCGAGAGTGCTGAAATTACAGAGCTCTAGTCCAGTTTCAACTAGAGTCTTCGTTTCTAACCAAAATCTCCTTGAGCCTAGCATTTGAGGTCCACCTTCTTAGCAGCATTCTGCTCTTCTGCCCTAACCAGAATCTTTCATCCAGCTTTGCTTACGTACTCTAAGGCTTTTCTAGCCATAATGTCCAAAACTGTCCAAACTCCTCCTGAAAACCAGTTCCAAAGGCTTTGGAACCGCATGGTCAGGTACAGGCACAGCAGTGAGTACCAAAGTCAGTGTTAGCCATTTCCCGTGTCGGAGATGAAATCGATGTTTATTTTGATTCGGTGTCAGTGGGTTCAGTCCGTGGTAGAGATGTGTGGCGGGATGGCATGGCAGAGGGAAGCTGTTTACCAGTTGGAGGCTAGGAAATGGAGAAAGGAGGAGGAGGAGGGGGCAAGAATCCAACCCCAGCAACTTGCCTTTTCCAACCAGGCCCCACATCCGAATGTGGGACATTTTAGATCTAAAGCATAACAGCCCCCTTGGGGGACAGACATGGTGGGGAGAGTGTCCTTGCTGACATCCACATTCTTCCTGGGATGACTCCTGGTTGTCTTTAATGCCTTTCTAGTTTTTTGTCACCAGCTCCCATCTTAAGAAGCCCCCTGGGTCAGCAACACCCTGACCGAGACAGGAGCTCTCTATGGTGCCTTTCCCTATCCAGTGTTCCTCTGCTACCTGCCTGCCTTCTCATACCCATACCTTTGATCAGGACTAATCAAGTGGAAAGAAATCTGAGCATGTTATATAAAATCAGTGAAGGGTTTTTTTCTCATGCTCTTGTTCATCTGTCCCCTCTTATCCTTTTGGATATTCACTGCAGCCATTGTCTTCTTACAGGGACATTCATACCACCACTGGGAAGATCAAACGGGCCGTTCTGCAGTTCACCCCTGCTAGCTGGACCTACGTCAGATGGTTTGACCCCAAATCTTCTTTTCAGAGAGTGGCCGGGATATACCTTTTCATGATCATCTGGCAGGTATTTGCAGATGCCCATAACTGATGAACAATGAAAACAGAGGCTTTCTAGGAATTTAGGATTAGTGTTAGCTTATGTGTTGTAGCAGTCTAGAAGATAAGATATTCTGCATCTGATGTATAGAATAATTAAGCAAAATGCTCTTGTTATACCTAAGATCTAGCTTCATCATGAAGACATTTTTAAAAAGGGATCCTTCAATTACAAGCTTAAGACAGATTAGATTCCCTAGAAAAGGCCATGTGTAGTATCTATCACTCAGTGAGTTAGGCACTGGATTGCTTTTGTGATTGATTATTCATTCTCAAGACTAAACCAATGAGAAGGCTTTGCTCACGTTCCTTATTCAGTCTTTAGTGGTCAGAATTATACCAACTTGGCTATCACAACTTTGGGTAGTGCTCTGAGAGCTAGATCGGCCTGTGGGAGTGGAGCCTTTGGTGGGTGGGTCCTGCACAGTGTTGTCTGAGGGCAGAGAAGCTGTGATTCCAGGTGGACCATTACCTAACTGAAGCGGTACAGGCAGCTGGGGTCCTGGCAGTGGGTTCTTAAACGCCTTTCTCTAGAGGCAGCTTCTTTACTGAGCTTTCCATCCCCAGGAAGCTTCACCAGGGCAACTGGCTTTTGCCTAAAGGATCATTACGAATCATGAGAAATGTAGTTTTAGACACATAAACACAAAATAAAAGAAACGAAAACAACATTACCTGTTTTTAATGATGATTTTCCTTGTGCATACATGGAAAATAATAATGCCTGTCTCGGTAAATGAGTCCATTTATACAGAAGTATATGTGAATAGGTGAATAATCACCATGGTCTGCAGAAGTCAGAATGATCATCCCCTCATACCTGTGCTTTCTGCCTCTGTGGATTCATCCAAATGCAGACTGAACGTATTTGAAAGAAAATATTGCATCTGTCTAGAACTTGTACAGACTTTTTCTTGTTACTCGCTATAAACAACGCAGTATAATAATTATTTACACAGTATAATAATTATTTACATCACATTCATTATTAGTAACCTAGGGATGATAATTTTACATATATGAGAAGATGAACATAGGTGATAACGCACATACTATGCAATTTTATACAAAAGACTTGAGCTTCTGTGGATTTTGGTATCTGGGTGTCCTGGTACCATTCTCCAAAGATAGCAAAGGATAACTCTATAAAACTGTAAATAGCTGTAAATAGATTAGGATCAAGCTTTGCCTTATCAGGGCAAATGTCATACAAGGTTTAGGTTTTCTTTTCTATGGAGGGATGTTTGCATTTGTGGCGGAGAGATAATATGGTTCCTCTGGAAGACACACTTTTCCTGTGGCTGTGATCCCTGTCCCTGCAGTCAGCGCTATGGGAAAACAGTATATGCTCTGTTTAACTGAAGTACACCGTGTGATGTGTTCTCCAAGCGCAGTGACCTTTCTGTCGTCCCTGCCTCTGGATAGCGACATGGAACCAGGCTGTGAGCGGAAAGCACAGGCGTCCTGGGTGTAGTCTGGTGCTTCCGCCAGGTGCTCCTTGTAGTGCTGGCCTCAGGGAAGAGAGCCACTGCCTCTGGGTGACCCTTGGATCAGCCTCTCATACACAACTTACAGAGCTGCCTTTGGCTGCGCAAGTGTTCCACAGCACCTGCGTCACGCCTCCTGCTCTAAGCTTTTCTCTCCCAGCTGTCCCAGCGGATCACAGGAGCCACGTGCCAGTCACGTGAAGCAGGAAACGCGAGGAGTAGATGATGCCTCGAGGCCCTGTGTGTTCTTCCCACCCCCAGCTCCTCTCCTGGACCTGCACTTGGCCAGCATTTCCATGGTTCTGGCTGTTACTAGTTTGAATAGCAGCCCCAGGGAGACCCTGTGTATTTTCTGAAAATGCTAAGGACAGAACCAGTCATTTCTAACTGGAACGTCTGCATGAGGAATGCTGGCCTGTGATGTACCAGGAGACTCATCTTTTCTCTTTCTTTTCAGTTGACTGAATTGAACACCTTCTTCTTGAAGCATATCTTTGTGTTCCAAGCCAGTCATCCATTAAGTTGGTGTAGAATTCTCTTCATTGGGTGCATCACGGCTCCCACAGTGAGGTAATTCTGTGCAAACCTGGCTGTCGTTTGCAGATGCTAACTAACCTGCTCTATCTTCTGCCTAGCATGATGTTCCACAAAAATGTCTTTTCAAGGAATTAAACATCTAGTGTGCAAAGTACATGTTTTGCTGTCAGACCTTAGTACATTTCCCAAGGCCTTAAAGAAAGAAAATATTGAATAATCAATGAAGGCCACACCAGTAATGCTGTTCATTATTTCAGATGCTTTCATAATCTTTCACTGCTTTTCTTTTTTCTCCTTCTATAGCCTATTTAAAAAAATAGTAGCAGTGATACTGAGGTTTCTTAAATTGAGATTATTGGAAAGTACAGAAGTGCTTATAGTAGAATTGAAGTTGTAAATGACATTTTCAGAATGAGACTTTATTAGCTTTTTTAGATCCAATTAAGCTATTGTCCTTGTAGTCTTGCAGGACAGCTGTGGTGCGTGTGGGTGTTATGTATTCATGGGGCTTGGAGGGAGATGTCATTCACAGACTGTCCCTCATGGACAGAGTGCCCCAGTAAAGTTCAAAGCCAGACATTTTCATGTTTCATTTTTCCTATTTGGAAGCGGCATTTGGGTTTCATAACTTACATATAATAGTGGCCTTGATCAGTAGCCACACTGAAGGTCTTCTAGAGCTGTTAATATACTAAGCATTAAAAAGAGTTGGCTTTTCAGAAACGGTAGGGTTACTTGTGTCATCATTTTTAATATGCATACAAGCTGTCCAAGTAGAGGGGTTCACTTCCCAGCCAGCATCTCTTCTTATCCTAAAATCTGTTTGCCCACATCTGGAATTGAACAGACCAAGTAAGACATGTCTGAGTCCTGTGGAATTAAAGCCACAATGTCCATTTCTCCTTTTCATTATGAGCCAAACAGGACAGTAGCAAGTGTCCCTTTGAAACTTTGTAGGGTAGTGGCCTGCTGAAGTCCTTAATCTCATAAATGCTGTTGCTCCTTCATGCTTTGGAGCCCTGCATCCCCACACACACTTAAAACAATTTAATTAGAGACTTCACAATTGTTTTCAGGAAGGTTTGGAACAGTTCTTATATAAAACTAGGAACAATAAAGCCAATAAGAGGAGAAAGAAATCTCTTCTTATAAAACAAAATAGCATATCACAACTGATTTGCTATAAAATTCCAATATGGTTAACATTACAATGCAAAAACTAAACATTTAAAAATTCAGTGTTTCATACTTTTGAGAGCACCTCAAAATTTTTGCCAAAACACAATTTCTATATACTTCTTTAAAAACAAACAGACAACCCACTTTCTGTGCCCTATCACTACTTGATGTGGTTCTCATCCAAGTGGATGCGTTGACAGTGTGTTGCACTGAGAAGCACTGTAGAGAATTTTAGAGCCACCATCTGCTTAACAGAGGCCAAGGTCTCATGGGAGAGGTAGCTTTGTAGGCTTCCAGACAAATCACACGCACTGCATCGCCCTTTTCTTTCCTTTTCGTTAGACTCACGTGACTCTGCTTTGAGAAGACTTTGAGTAAAAACTTTTAACTTGATAGCACAAAATCCAGTCTAAGGGCAATGTTGCAAGTAGAAGAATGGAGCTGGGTAATAGATTGGGTAATAGATGTTGAGTGAGAGGAAAACCTGCTCTTCACAATTAGAATTCACTGGGGTCTCTGGAGTAAAGAGGCGGTATTTCATAGATGTGCTTTAGGCACCTGAAGTTTAATGCAGAATTCTTTATTTTTGTTTTCGCCTCTCATCCATTTTATTGTTATTTTACTGTGCCGCACATGTGTGCAGTCAGCGTCTCCGCTCCTCGTGGGACATGGGCACGTGCACGTAACACGTCTTAATTCCATTTTCATCCCTTCCCTTCCCTGTCGCCCCACCCAATGCAAAATTTTGTGGGCACGTTTTATGTGTCTTTATCGTAGCTTTCATCAAATCCTTCAGGGAGTCTGTAACCCCAAAAGATGAGGTGATTCAGATGCTGCCCCTGGAAGGAGGGTGGGCTGCGTGTCAGGGCTACTTTTGAGACTCCAAGTCATCAGTCCTATCAGCAGCCACTTAGCACGTGTGGCTGCTGAGCGCTACAGACGTGGCCGGTCCACAGTGAAAAGCACTGGAGAGCCAACACTATTTCAGAGTGAGTACAAGCAGTGCACAGTGCTCCATTGTAACGATTTAATGTCCGCTTAAATACTGGTTTAAAGAACATATCTTTCTGTGGTGAGTTTTATGTGTACTCTTGAATGTGGCAACTGGCAAGTTTAAAGGGTGTCTATGGCTCATATTTCAATTGTTCTGAGCATTTCAGCCTTCAGAGGCCCTGGCATTCAGTGATGTGAGTTGCGGCTGGGGTTCCAGTCCAGTTTCCCAAGGCCAATTTCCCAAAAATGTTCCTGTTTCTTGCCCAGTTGTGATCAGAAACCTTTGTCCTAAGAATACCAGAGGAGACAGCGAGTGTACCGTAGAGCTGACCCTGTGCAGTCACCTCCTTAGATAGGCTTTGGCTCCGGCTGTAGAGGTCTCGCTGAACCAAGACTGCCTCTGCCAACAGTGGTGGTTCAAGTGATGTTCCCCTCCCTCCAGCCTCACCCGAATTCTGAGTCTCACAGGAATATTTGACGAGGCCCAAGCTGCTGTTTTCTTCAGTAAAACTAGACCAGGCAGCTGGAGTATGTGGGACAAGGCGGGACATTTTTTTCTTCTGTAAAAGCGATTCCTGATTTGTTGACATACTGGTCTTTCAGAAGCTCTCTGTGAATTCCAACTTTGCCGATTTTGTTCTTTCAGACAGTACTATGCTTACCTCACCGACACACAGTGCAAACGTGTGGGAACACAGTGCTGGGTGTTTGGGTGAGTATACGGCTTTCAAAGCCACCCACGCTCCTGAATGTCTTTGGGTGTTTCCTGATGCTGTCAGGTGCCTTTCGGTGTCATTCCCTATGAAGGCAAGTGAACAGGTTTTGCTCTTATTTTTATTTATATACATTTAGTCCCAGCTTACAAACATTCGGGCTGTGAACTTTCCCAGATGTATTGTGTCAGACTCACTTTGTCAATTTGCAAATAAATCCAACTTACAGTTCTCCCAGAAAAGAACTCTGGTCTTATGTAATAAATGAGAGAATGGCTCAGGTGCATTTCCTCTGAATGCACGTTGAGTTTGGAACATGATTGTGTTGTGGGCTTTACCCACACTTCGTGTCACTGTGGCATCAGAAAGGCACCTTGAAATGGCTATGTACCAGGGCACAATTTCATTGTTCAAAGAATTAACACAACTGCATGGTTATAATTTATTGTTTTATTACAGGTATAAATGCTTTATCTTAGTTTAATATTTAATTGGTATGGGATTACACATTGTCTAGTTTAACACCTGTTAAATGTCCGGCCTCTCCCTTCAGTATTTCAGGTAAGTAATTTTTGCTACTTAAGCATCAATAATTTACCACCTCATTTAGTAAAGGAAGTTCTAAATGTGTCCAGCAAATCTGTACCAGAAGTTTGGTCCCTTAACCAGTGTAGATTCAAGACCTAATCTAGGTTTTAAAGTGAGTATGATGGTATAAAGACAGTTTCAGGAAAACCTATAATAGAAAAGAAATGACTGCTTTCACAGGGTTTAACCAGAATAGCCTTATTTCAATGTGAAAAGTGATGCAAAGCCAGGCATGTAATCCTAGCACTCTGGAGGTTGAGGCAGAAAGATTTTAGTGAGTGAAGGCCAGTTTGGGATGAGTTCAAGGGCAGCCTAAACGTCCTAGTAAGACTGTCTCAAAAAAACAAACACAAATAAGTGATACACACATATGGATAAAACTTCAGAAAAGAATATAGAAGAAACTAAAGATTACCTTAAAAAAAGTCAGCTTTTCAGAGATAATGGCCAAAAGTTTCATTGTTGCAAAACATTTTTCTCTGTGTGTGTTTGTGTGTGCATGTGTGAGCTCTCACTCCCAAGTTCTAGGGGGTTACTGTATGAGCTTTTTATCCCTGGGACGTAATACCCAACACTCACAGCTTAAAGAAGGAGATGTTTAATCTGGCTCAAGGTTTCAGAGGATTCAGTCCATGGTCATCTGGTTCTAAGTCAGGAACATCCATGATGGAAGAGTATGGTGGAGCAAAACTGCCTACTTCATGGTGGTCAGGAAACCGAGTAGGGAATAGCACCAGAGAGGACAGGCCAGTACCATATGCAGTGCCCAGGGTCACACCTTCATGACCCCCCAGACTACCCAGGAGTGTGCTTCACTGGTCCCCTGGGTGGCTCCCAAACCAACCAAATTGACACAATCAGGCTTAACTGTCAGTCACATTACCTATAATTTTAGAGAATAAAAAAGTATTGACACTCAAGTTAGATTTAGGCAAGGCCCTCCTGCACCCAGGAGACAGAAGGCCATTGGTCATTTGTTTCTCTTAAAATCTGTGGTATAAGCTGATTTCCTACCCCAGAGTCTGCAGCTTCAAAGGTCATAAGGTGGATTAAGCATCCTTTGTTTACTGATGTGTGGCAAGAAGGAGAATTCACACATCTTTGGGATTTCTGATGGGCTGAGCAGAAGAGGTCCCCACTTCTCCGGGTGAGGTGTCCTAGAAGGATGTAGGTTGGAGGTGCTTCCTCTTCATGTCTTGTGTAAGGCAGAAGTGATTTCTGGCATCTGACTTCTTTTCCGGTTACATGATCCTTCCACGTGCATTTCTGCCTTCATGTTTAAAGTCTCTGGCGAGGACTTACCTGACAGCATTACTGACTGACCTGTGAAAGACAAGGAGACATGGGTCAGAGAAGGGGTAGTGGTGGGGCAGAGTTTCTTTCTAACTGGCAGCCCAGTCTCCCCATGTATGAGGAATGTCAAAGGTGGATGGACTAACGTGTGGTAGACGGCCCTGTGAAAGAAAGTTATCCCGTGTCGGCAGTGATGAAAATGAAAACTCAAAAGATAGATACTGGTTTTTTAGTGTCTTCTGAGACCTCCTAGAACAGATGAATCTTGGGAGAACAAGTGGTCCATGCTGATGGAGAACAAACCCCTCTTCATATAACACATGGGGACTGGGCTGCATGTGTGATCTCTGGCCAGGGCCACCCTGTGTGCAGCCGAACCTGTCAGCCACACCGGGAAGGTGACACAGCAGGCGGAGTCTCTAGGCTCTTCCCTTTGCCTGTCCTCCATGGCTGTGTCCTCTATACCCCATCCCTCCCTCTTGGCCTCATTTTACTTCTTCTCCATCAAAACAGGAAACACTGAGCTCTGATTTCCTTTAATGACTGGTAGCTGCTTTGTGTTTTTTTTTTTTTTTTACTGTGTTAGCAGTGGTCCTAGGCTTTAGGCAAGTGTGGCCATAGGAGAACAGTAGTCCTACATATAGTGACAGTTTTTCTTTTGAGAAGTGGGAGTGAGTAGACAAAGGTCAGGCAGGACCACTCACCTGAGGATTCATTCGTACCACTCCACATTTTTCTCCCGATGGGCATTTTCACTTCTAAAGATACTACATCCCACGAATGTTTGTGTGAATTACTTGTTTAAATATAGACTTGCCCCATCATCCCCCAGGTCTGAGCTATTCAGTCTTTTAACTAATTTGCCCAAGCTGGGCTAGAACTTGTAATCCTCCTGCCTCAGCTTCTCTGAGTACAGGGATTACAGGCCTGTGTCACTAGTCCACTCTTGGTATCGGGAATCAAACTCAGGTCCTTGCACTTTCAAGGCAGGCAGTGGAACCACTGAGGTAAATCCCTGGCCCAGTCTGGCCTTTTCTATTTAACATTTTTAACCAGCTGGGAAATGGAAACCCTACAGGAGAGACGGTGCTGTGGGCAGTGGGGCCCTCTCCATCAGGAAGTCGCATTACATTCCCTCAGCTCCGAGAGTTCGGGGCCAGACTGATGTGAACTCCTGTGATGCGCTTCCTAGTTTTGTCTGATTTTTCCTGCTCCACTTCAACTGTAAGAATCTGTGCCCTCAAAGGAGGTTTTCTCACCTGATCCTGGCAGGTGGCTGGGACGGAAGGAGAAGCCCTGGCCTCTGGGGAGGACGGGCCCCTGAGGCGGCAGAGCTACCCACCCACTGGTGCCCTCACGGGCTGCCTCCTCCCGCCCAGCCTTTCCATCCCGTCGGCGCACTCCGCCCACTGCTGCAGCCTGCAAGCCAGGTTCAGTTCCGTGTGCAGCACCTCCCCCACCTCCAGCTCTGTCTTTCCTCTGCTGCTGCCACCTCCCCAGCTCCCACAACAGCCCACTGACCTCTCAAGGCCTCTCAGTGTCTCACAGACTGCAGGAGCAGCTGGTTCCCTTCCCTCAGGTGACACCCTGTCTAGCCCCTCATAGATGCATAAACAACTGGGCAGCGCAGGCTCCTCTGCTGCCTCCCTCCTGGCCCCGGGGCTCTGAAAGTCAGAAGAACAGAATCTCAGCTCACCCTCTGAGAACCAGAGCCACACTCTCCTGAGCTGCAGGGCACTGCCTGGCTTCCTGTGCTCTGTGGTGGTTGGATTTCATGGGTGCACATCCTGTTTCCATTTTTGGAGTGAACTCCTGCCTGGCCACCAGGTGACTTGCCCACCCACTGTGCAAACTTGGAGGGATACTTTGAGACTCAGGCAGGCGGCCGCTGTGGCCATGGCATCGCTGTGGTGTCCCCAATCGCCCAGGACAGGCTCTGCTTACAAACCGAACACCATTCCTCTGGCTCAGGGTTGGCCTGTGCACCCCAGTCACACAGAGACCTTTTGGGGTGCAGTTTCCATCGTGACCCCTGCCTGCAGCCCTGGTCCATTCGCTAAGGAGCTCCCCATTTTGGCTCTGCTCGCAGCATCTTTTTTTCCACCCTGTGGAGTCGGCAGCGAAGACAGGCAGAGTGAGAGTGTGCAGGTCAGCAGAACGTCCAGGTGGGGTCTCCAGGCTGCCAAGCATCCCCTCGGGTGGCCCAGTGTTTCTTGGCCTTTCATCCTTGCTCATTGAGACAAGGATGGGAACCACATCAATAGGGGAGCTGGCTGTACGTTTGGCCCCTTCAGCCTGGGAAAGACCACTGGTTTAAATTTGAACCGAGTAGAGGGGCGTGCTGGAGAGCTGGGCAGAGGGAGTGGGTGATGGGCTCTCAGGTGGCAGGTTCGGTGCCAGGCCTTGGGCTCCAGCCCAGACAAGCTGCCCACTGAGTCCCGGTGTGAACACAGCAGACCTTGTTGACCACCCTCTGCTGGTGGCTGGCAGACCTGGCTGGCAGCTGAAGGAGCCCTGACATTGTTGGGGTGCAGTGCACCCCAATGTCCCCACTTCTCTCCACCCCAGTGGCTCCTGTCCTCTCTTGCCTTCTCACTGCAGTTCTGTGCAGTTCAGAGTGAGCCTGTTAACATGTAAATCCTGCTGTGTTAAAACCTCAGCACCAAACTCTCTGCAGTTCTCTCTGAGTAAAAGCCAAGCCCTGGGGTGGACCCCAGACCCAGGTCACTCAATGTCCACTTAGTACCTTCTACTCACTCCTGGCCCAGCCTGAGACCCTTCACCCGGGTCAACCGCAGCTGGCTCCCTCGCCTCCACTCCTACTTAGCAGTCAACTTCTCCCCCCGAGCTGCGGAAACCTGTACAGACCACAGCGTGGCTGATTCCTCAGCACCTAGGAGCAGGTCAGAGCCTAAAGTTACTGACTCAGGAATAGGGTTTTAGAGGAAACCAAAGGTGGTTGTGAGGTCAGTTGAGTGAGTCTTGATCAGTTTAAAATGAAATGGAATCAAAACATACCAGAGTAAAATGTCAAAGGACAAAGTTACAGTCTAGTTAAAGTCATTGGCTTTACTTTCAGTTCTAGAGTCAGACAACCCTTCATTCTGTCGAAGAGAGTAAGTCTCCCACCGAGCTAAGCAGAGGAGCTTGATTTTTACAGACAGAAAGGGGATGAAAGCAAAGAATAGGCCAGGTGTGATGGCGCACGCCTCTAATCTCAGCACTTGGGAGGCTGAGGCAGGAGGATTGCTATGAGTTCGAGACTAGCCTGGACTGTATAGTGAGTTTCAGGTCAGTCTCAACTACATAGTGAGACCCTGTCTCAAAAAACAAAAAAAAAAACCAAACAAAGAACAGAAAGGGGATTGGTCATTTTAAAGTTACTTTCCTTGTCAGGCTGGGACAGGGAGACAGGAATAGAAAAATGAGTAATTGGTTAACATCAGGTTACGTCAGGTTACCTTCTTCACGTAAGGGTGAAGGCAGAGGAGGCTTATCAATCATCATGCCAGTTGGAGCTGCCTTATTGGGAAATTTTGCTGTTTTCTAATCCTTATTTCTCAGGTCACAGGAACAGCCTGGTTGTTGATGTGGACCTTCAGCATGAGTGACTCCATTTTGATTTTTTAGCCAGCTCTCTTGTTCCTGGTGCAGGAGCTTAAGTAAAAACAGTGGCCTCCCATGATTTATTTGGTACCAGGAATCAAACTCAGGACCTTGCGCTTTTGAGGCAGGCAGTTTTTGAAGCAGGCAGTGGCACCTCTGAGCTACATCCCCGGTCCCCATAATTTATATTTAACAAAGGATACGGATTGTTCTGTGAAAGTTTTGTTTCAGAGTTTGTGTGTGTGTGTGTGTGTGTGTATGTGTGTGTACTGGGTCACAGTGGAAGCTGTGGCTTTTGCCAGCTCTAGATTGCTGGTCACCATGCTTTCTGCACAGGAATCCAAGTCTAGGTGAATGTCCAGAAACCTTTCCTAATAAACTCAGGACATTCTGTTCAGCCTAAGGGTACGTGGCCATGCTGTGTCCTGCACTCAGTACCCCACCTTGGGAGTTCTATAGGACGTCCAGCTGCAGAGTTACTTTTCTCATTGCTGCCCACTGAAATCACAAGAGTCTAATAACCAGCTAGTGTTAAATTCCCTATGTGTCCTTCATCTAAAATAATGCTTTCTCACGTGTGACAGCATTGCTGGAGAACAGAGGGACAATGGTCTTTAAAGATTCGAGCCATCTACCCTTAAGCTTTGCTTAGTTGGGGCTAGGGGGAAAGATAGTATGGAGTCTCAGAAATAACATTAAGCAGACTTCTGGTGATTTCCCTGCTTTGCCAGAGTGGTTCCCAGGCAGGCCGTTGTTCAGAGCCAGCCGTACTTCAGGTGACGACAGTGGCTCTTGGGTCTGCCAGTGGTCGGGGGACCCAGGCCTTCTTGGGACCTCTCGCCTTTTTGGAGAATTCCTGCGTGAGCCCGCCAGTCCATCTGTCCAAGCTGGGACCTGAAAAGCAGGGCCATCTGAGATCTGTTCTTTTGCCATTGTTGGGAGCTCATGGCCAACTGTACATACGGCCGTGGCTCTTGTGGCGGCTATGGGTCCAACCCTCCTGGAAAAAGAGGCTCTCAGTTAATGTAATTCCTGGAGCCCTTCACATCTGTGGGTCAAAATTTTGGAAGGAAAGAAGAAGAGGGGGAAAAAAACAGTTTCTACAGAAAATGCAGGGCCCTAGAAGAGCATCATTTTCTAGGGTTCCTGCCTCCAGTGTCTGGGAAAGAAACTCTGTGACCATTTAACTTTTTGATTCAGTCGTGCATATTTTGATAATGTATATGCTCTAATAGGTTGGATTAATTAATATTTAACCTCTTGTTCTCTGTTAGGGCCATTGGTTTCCTGGAAGCGATCGTTTGCATAAAATTTGGACAAGATCTCTTCTCTAAGACCCAGATACTCTATGTTGTGCTTTGGCTTCTTTGCGTGGTAAGTCATTACTTGTTCACCCAAAAGTGTTAGCCGGGCTCCTGTGATGTCTGCTGAAAGGACAGAAAGCAAAAACCTGCGCTCTTGTGCGCCATGTGTCCTTGAAAGTTCACAGAAAGATGTTAGCACCACCGCCCAAGGCATCGCTCTGCAGTTCAAGAACAAAGCACGGGTGGCCCTGAGCGTCTGAAATGGGCACTTTGGCAGGTGGCAGAGGCCCGGAACAGGTGTGCGCTGTGTACTTAGTTCACCTACAGGAATTTGTCTACACGTGCTGAGCAGTTAAGGACCAGCCTGAAGGGACCAGAATAAGTATGGTGTCCTTTCCTCCATCTCATCATCCTACTTTTCTTTGAAGTGCTGGACATTGAGCCCAGGGCCCCACATGGAGCTAATCCTCCGCCTTTTTAAATTTTGAGACCCGATCTCACCAGATTGCTGAGTTGCCCAGTCTGAGCTTGAACCTGTAGTCCTCCTGCCTCAGCCTCCCAGAGCACTAGCACCACCGTGCCTGGTACCTTACACAGTTTAACACACATAGCACCATATGTGGGTTTATGCACAAAATGATGCTGATACGCAGTGTAAGGTGTTTTTGAAGGAAGATTATGGGATTTCTGTCCTGGGCTCATTTGCTGGCCTCGGCCTGAGTGACCTGAGCTTCTGCACTGAGGGGCCAGAGCCCAGTGGGGACTTGGGCCCAGGCCTCCAGTCTTTACCTTCACCTTGAAAATGACACCAGCTCTTCCAGCAGGAATATCAAGCAACTGCTGGTCTTAATTGATTTGTAGTTAACTGTTTGAGAGAAAAGTTATTTCACAATTAAGCTTAAGTCTTTATTTTAGTTGGTCTAGATCATGAATCAGGGCTTTTTTACGATCAGGGGAGGGAAGGGAAGATCAGGTGACCCTCTGGTACCCTGTCATCCGGTTTCAGCAGCAGTAACCCTCTCAGCCAGTCCTACTTCATTTATGCCCCATCCCAAAATACTCTGAAGCAAATCTATCTTTAATATTTTGCAGTGTATCTGAAAGAAGACAAGAATGCTTTTTTTGTTGCTTAATGCAATCACGATTCCATTATCACATCTGAAAAAGAATTAGCACTGATTCATATTATCAGCTGTCTAATCAATTTTGCTTACTAATTTTCTTTTCGAGTTCATATTTTAAAAATTTATTTGAGCCACCAGACCACTTGTCCTGGGTAATTTGTGCTTTTTACGTCTCCTTTGTTTTATAAGTTTTCCTTCTGTCTTCCCTGGCAGCTTGTTTATGAAGAAACCAGCTCTTTGTCCTGTAGATTCTCCCACAGTCTGGGTTTTACAGATTTCAGCGTGTCCTGAAACTGAGCATGTTTGTTTGTCTCCTGTATTACCTACAAATAGGTTGTTGGACCTAGGAGCATAATCAGATTCAGGTCTTTCTTTGTGGCCAGACTGAAATTTGTATTTCTTAAGATATCTTCTGTGCTGCTCATGATGTCTGTTTTTAAGGTTGTTAGAAACCTTGCCTGTCCCAGGGCACCTTGAGCCGGTTTCTTCTTGAGCAGGGAACAGTGATCTTGTTTGTATTTAGAGCACGGACTGCTCCTGCACGCATCCCGTCCTAGTGAGACAGAGGTGCTTAGGGGAGTGGCCGGTGTGCATGGAGATTTTTGCTGCTCTCCTCAGATTTCTCTGTGGCGTGGTAACTTATTCTGGACCTGAACGTGGCCTGGCTGCATGGGCAGAGGTGCCCACAGGGCTGGGCAGGCAGGGCCTGAGACATGAGAGGACCTGTCTCATCCCGTCATGTCACAGGCCGTGGATGCATGAGGATCATAACCCCAGTGCCAGGGCCTTTTCAGAGTGGTACTTCCTGTTCTTGAGTGAGTTTCCATCCCCCTTCTCTCTGTTTGAGCACAGGGCCGTTCACACAGGAAACACTCGGCAGGCGTGTGGTGAGGAAAGGGCTGGGCTGGAGAGACAGGTCTAGGAGCCGTCCGGGTGCTGAGACATTGCTTGTACGGAGCCGTGACGTGGTGACAGGCCCTTCAGCTCAGGAGCATGGTGGGCTGTTTGGGGAGCAAGAGTGGAAGGGGCAGTTGACCGGGCTCACCCGGAGGGTAGGAAGGGCTGTGCATGCCTGTCTGAGCCCCAGGATTTGTAAGGAGAAGACTTGAGTTCTCATCTGTGTCCCAGAGAAATACCATGAAGAGCGGGGGCTGGGAGGAAAATGGAAGAGGACGGGGTGGAATCACAGGGCGTTGCGAGGTCCTCGGGACAAATGACTGACGTGGGACCAAGATAAGGGCATTGAAGTGCAGAGAAAGAACCGGGTTTGAGTTACTAAGATGCTCGAGGTCACCAGCTTATACAGAAAAAAGTTATTCTGGCTCACAGTTTGAAGTTGCAGTCTGTGGTCATTTGTCCCTGTGGCTTTTGGGGTGAGTCAACACATCATGGCCAGAGCCTGTGGTGGAACAAAGTCTGTTCACCTCATGGCCAGCAAGAATGAAAGAAAGAGCAAGGGACTGGGTCCTGTTGTCCAGGAGGACCTCCCACTAGGTCCCCTATCTTTTTTTTGTTCTTTTTGAATGGTAGTAGAAATTAGGCCTAAGGCCTTCACATGGAGCTATATCCTGAGCACATTTTTTATTTTTAACAGGGTCTCCTCAGCTCCCTAAGTTGCCTAGGCTGAACTCAAACTTGAGATCCTCCTGCCTCAGCCTCCCAGAGGGCTGGATTACAGGCATTCACCCTGCCCTGTCTTAGGCCCCACTCTTAAAGGTTATGCCACCTCCCAACAGTTGCTAAGCTGGGGCCTAAGTTTGTAACACACAGGCCTTTGTGAGGTATGCAAGATACAAACTGTAGCAATCCCTGTTGCGTATTTACCAGTGGAGAGTGGAAACAAGATCCTGGCCTTCACGCCCTCGGCCTTTGTTAAGAGTGAGGCTGCTCCCCAGCGCACGTGCCAGTGCTGTACGTCCAGGGAGGGAGCATCAAGGCTCAGAGCTGCGTGTTCCCTCGCTCGCGTCCATGATGAACGTGGGAGCAGAGTCCTCAGCTGGTTACAGTGGTTGTCTGTCCAGGCGTCACAGACTGCAGGGCTCACCGCCACATGGGGCAGCCAAGCCACACCCGGCGGCCCCACACACACCCATGACGGCCCGGCTGTCCTCCCACAGCTCCCTGTTCTCCCGCCGCCACCTCTCCGTTGTGTGGGGTTGCTGTCAGACCTGCGCCGTGATGTTTGAAGTGGGTACCTGCCTGGGTTTCACAGGTGTGATTACAAACCCAGAGATTACAAGCTTCTGTCTCCAGGGACCACTCTCAAGAGGGCCTGTTGTACCCAGGCGGCCACAGCAGGCCCTTTGTGTGGCAGTCACGATGATCAGCACCTGCCCCTAACTGCCGGCCCTGTTTGCCTGGCCCCTCTGCAAAGCCAGCTCTTTGCTGCTGGAGGGAGTCCCCACCACCTGCTGTCCTCCCAAACTGCAGCTGGGAAGGCACAAGCCCTGTGCGCCTGCCCTCTGATGGCCAGAAGTTGCAATGACAGGCTAGTGGAGTGACCTGCCTCCCACTGTGGGCCATGGCCAGTGACTGGTTGGGCAGGATACTGTGTCTGTCTGTCTGTCTGTCTGTCTCACACACACGCACAAAGCCCAGAACAACCTGTTACCCTCTCTTTAAAGGACCCAATATACATAGGCTTACAGACCACAAACCTCTATTTTTTGCTACTACTACTAATAATGGCTGGGGTCTACAAGAAATATGGACAAGTATTCAAATATGCTAAAGGTTAAAAGTCATTTTCACTTTATAATTTTTATACATAATATATAATTTTAATATATAATTTTTGATGTTTGAACTGTGTATATTTTCTGGATGGGTGAGTATGAGCTTCTTTTTTTAAAAAAATTTAAAAGTCCTGATCTGTAATGTATGTTAGCTTGCATGTAGATTTAATATAAAATGAACGAGTGGTTGTATTTCCACCGTCAGGAATGCCAGCTGGAGACTGGGACTCCTTTCTCTTTGGGAATTTAAAGGAGACTGTAGTAGCCAAGCAGGGGGCAGCACACACCTGCAATCCCAGAACTGTGGAAGGCTGAGGCAGGAGGATTGGGCCCAGCTGGACAGTTTAGGGGCTTAATGAGACACTGTCTTAAAATAAAGAGCGCTGAGGGTGCAGCTCAGTGCGAAGGCTCAGGGATCGATCTCCAGTACCAAGGGGGAGAGAGGGGGCGGGGAAAGAGAGATTGCGCCCAGAAGACGCTTAGCGGACATGGACATGCAGACTGAAAAGAACTCGGCCAAAGCTGGACCTGAGCTGCAGAGCTTGAGAATCCCCAGCCCCACCTTCCCTTCCTGTTTTTGCCCTGTGTACCAGCCTCTGCAGAGTGGCATTGGCTTGTCCTGTGATGCTTTTCTTTCTCAGGAGGAGTGAGTTGGATGGCCAGATGGAAGTGTAAAGATGCGGAGCAAGTATTTGTTTATATCAGTAGCAAGCCCTAAAACTGTGCTGCAGGAGGCCGAGACACCTGTGTTCTGTGCCCAGTTTTGCCACACACCTGCTGTGCATCCGTAGAAGCCCACGTCCCTCTCTGAGACTTCATCCTCTTTGCCTTAAAAGGGAAGGGTGTGATCTTAAAGGGGGCCTTTAGGATTCTAGGGAAGAAGTAAAAATATTTCCTTAAGAAGAGAAGATCCTTCACAGGGGAAGGAGATCAAGAGAGAGAGGGAAAGGAGCTCAGTGGGTAAGGGAGGACGGAAGGAACTGGAATGTCAGTGTACGTGTGCCAGCTCTACACAGGGAGTGTGAACATTTTATGCTACACAATGTACTAATAACCAGAATCTTAAAAAACAAGACACAGAAGGTCCCATCATGATTTCAGCTGTTCCAGTGATTGGGTTGGGTGACAGGTGGCCACAGGAGACCCAGTTGGAGGGACAGCACCTGGAATACAGCACAGCCTGGTATGACTGGCTCCTAAGGGCCAGATGATGCAGGACAGGCCGTCCCTGGTCCTGTTCTGGGTCGATTTCTGTGTATCCTGGGAGGTGGGGCCTGCCATACGCTGTCTTCCCTTTTCCACCCCCTCCCTCTGTCCTTTGCTGTCCGTCTCAGCAACCAGAGACTTATCCAGATTTCATGCGTCTTGACACATTCGGAGATTCTGGATTCTCATGCAGCTGGGATTGTTTGCAAGACCCCTGGGATGCCCAGGTCGACCCACGCTCCAGGCCCTCCCGTAAAATGGCACGGTGTTCGCACATAACGTTGCTTATAATACCTAATACAATGTAATTGCTGTGACTCACTGCCAGACTGAAGTTGTAGGAAATGACAGTGAGGGGAGTTCTGTACATGTGTGGTACAGACACTCTCCGAAAAGCAGTTTTAATCCAAGGGTGGGCGAATCTCAGAGACATGGACCCCGTGGGTGCGGTGGGCTGGCTGTGAAATGGGGCACCACTTAGGGCGCGGTGCAGGCCGGTCAGGCAGGTGAAGACAGGTGTCACCTGCCTGTGCTTTGGGACCAGGAATGCCTTCCTCCGTCCACTCAGGGCTTTAAAAACATTTGTTTCCTCTTTATTTTCCTACCTGCTTAAACAAGAAAAAAGAACTGGGGTCAAAGTGGGGTTGCTGGCATTAAAAAGCTATGACAAGCAAGGGTGGCACTGTCCCACTGAGCTGTACCCGGACACAAGGGATATCTGTCCCCTTCTTTCTCTTTAGAAGTCCTCCTCCGGCCCAGCCCTGACACCCTCTGTGCTGGGGGCAGAGTGGAGTGGATGGGCTGGGAACCCTAACATGAGACTCCTGTGCCCTCTTCAGCAGCACCCACAGAGCTGCTAAGGAACTGCATTCCACGGCCCCTCACCGCTCTTGCATCCCGACAGTAGGGTCACAAGCAGTCACTGGTGTCCTCATAACCTCTGGTCACAAGCTTTGGGTCTGCACCTTTCGCCCCAAGCCCCATTTGTCCTCTGGGGCCCCATCTCTGCCACACCCAGCCATTCTGTTAGCAGCGTCCCTAGCACACGTGGCAGAAAGGCACTGAGCCATCATCCGACTCAGAAGCTCTGAGACCTCGGGTGCTTCTAAGTCGTCATTTATCAAGCAGCATCATGCATGTTTCTGTCTTCCAGGCCTTCACCACATTCCTGTGCCTGTACGGCATGGTTTGGTACGCGGAGCACTATGGTCACCAGGAAAAGGTACGAGACAGGCAGCGATGGCACTGTGTAAAACACCTGCTGGTGCTGGGAGGGCTCTTCGTGGGTGCAACTCATTCTGTCACCTGCCTGCCACGCTTGGGATCGAGTACCCTTATCTCCCTTTTGTTAGGGATTTAAATTTTCATTATATTTTGTTTTAATGGGAAAGCCCTGGACCTACCCTTGGAAGGCTGTCTTTATCCTGGTTCTTCCATGTGCTCAGGCCTCTCCGTGTGTCCCAGCCCAAGTTCCCCATCTTGAAACCTCCTGTCCTGCTTCCCTCTAGGATGCGAGGCTCAGGGTGTAGAGTATAGTTGAGAACAGGCTTGTACACTGTAGCAGTCCATCTACTGAGCTGTTTTGAGTAAAAGTAGTGCTTTTGTCTTTTATCTGCACCTTTAGTTTTAGGGACTACAGGTACTTTCTAGAAGGCTGATTGTGTGGTGTAGGAGCCCTATTTTCTAGCTGAGAAACACTGGCACGAGGAAGGTTTGTTGCTCTCCAAGGAGGATCTCAGCCTAGGATCACTTTTTTGCCCTGCCCCTCCTCCCAGGGGGTCCCCCACATTCCCCCCTGAGCCTGTCTCTCTCCCTAGACCTACTCAGAGTGTGAAGATGGCACCTACAGTCCAGACATCTCCTGGCATCATGGGAAAGGTACAAAAGGTATTGTCTTTTGTTGTTTAAAACTGTATGGACCCCCTACCCCCTGTGCTGCCTGAGGAGATTTGGGATCAGTGTTGAGGCCTTGAAGGGTCTGAGCCCTACCTGCCAGATGTCTCCTGTCACTTCTGAGTTACTCGCAGACTCCACTTAGTCAAGAGAGGCTCTCCCCTTCCCAAGCAGAGGAAACGGCAGGAGGCCCGCTCCTCTCGAGTACCCTGACTGGAATCACCCTCTAGGCTTTCTCTGTAAGTGGAAAGGGTTAGAAAAAGTCGTGTACCAGGAGGAAAAGCCTTTCAGAAGAGAAGGATATGTTTAATTGCATTTATTCCGGAAGCAGAGCTCGGTAAGAGGAATTTCCATAGTGTGGTTAGGGGCCGCTATTGGCCTCTCCGGGGAACATTTCTGAGGCCACTTGGCTGTTCGAAAGAATTAGACTTGTGGAATAATGACACTGAGGAGGCTCCACTGGCCAGTAATTCGTGCCAGTACCTAGGTGCTGATGGAGAAGTGTGGCTGAGGGGGGAAGTTGTAGGTGTGGGACACTGGGGAAACCAAGGCCTATAGGAAAAGCAGCTATCCTGAGTTCTCCGGGGCCAGGCCTACTAGAGATCACCTTGGGGAGATACTTGAGGGCACTCTGCTGAGTTGCTGGCCACCCGGTGTGGGGGGCAGTTTCTCCTGGACCAAGGAGTCATTCAGCACCCCATTGTGGAGTACTGGTACAGGGAAGCAGAGGGATCCCCCAGCTACCAGATCCATTGCCTCACAGATCGGCCCTGGTGCTTCTGGGTCTTCTGTGGAAAGAATTAAGCAGCGATAGAGATGTATTTATTATGTGGGGGAAGTGAAAAAACAAGTGTCGAGAGTGCTGAAAGAATATAAGACAAATGGTGCTGACTGTGGATGCCAAATCTGGGGCCTTTGCTGGCCTAAGGTGGTGATTTTGCCCAGGGCTGAGGAGCCTTGGGTTTGGCTGATAGGTTGGGAATCAGTCACAGCTGCCATTGGACGGCAGAGGCAAGTCATTGTGACCTTGTGACCAGGACTGGCCGTCATGGGCAGCAGGGGCCTGACTTATAAAGCTGTCAGCAGCTTGGATTCTACAGAGTTAAGAATCATTTCCATCTGAAGGATTAGAAACCCTGGTGTGTAGCAACTCAGAGAGTGGAAAGTCAGCTGATCTGTTCTTTGGTTACGAGGGTAAGGTGGTTATAGTTTTAACTGTGCTGTGCTTTGGTTTCATTTGGACGTCACTTAGGGGCCTCATCACCGTGCCCACGTGTCTCTTACCCAGTGCAGGTGTAAGAACTCTTAGCAACCCCCCAGGTTTGGCTGGGCTCTGGCCTTACAAACCCAAACACCGGGTTTGTGTCCTGGCCTTAATTTATTAATGAGGCCACTAGAGGGAGAGCAAGTCTCAGAGAAGAGCCTGCTCCTGACAGGGAAAAGGAAAGCCACAGAGAACAGGAGACCCAGCAGCCCCAGGTGATGGTGTGTGTGCTCGATTCCTTTGGTCAGGTTCAGAAGACAGCCCACCCAAGCATCCAGGCAACAATGAAAGCCATTCTTCCAGAAGAAGAAACCGACATTCCAAGTCAAAAGTCACCAATGGAGTTGGAAAGAAATGAAAGACCCTTGTTGATCAAAGATGTTCCAGAGAGTGCCTAGAACTGAGGGGGAAACAGAACTCCTTTGGACCTCCCTGTTAGGAGAGACAAAATGTGCAGAGCAAATGGGACAAGGAGGGGAACTTCGAGGGGTCACTGTCTGAGAGTCTAAGTTTTGTTTCCCATAGACCTGGCCACATCAAGCAGACCATGGTGTGGGGTCCTTCACCATTTGGGGCCTCACCTCACTTCAGCACGTGGCGTGCAGTAGTGGTGCAGTATGTTGGGAGGAAAACAGCTATTTGCTCACGGTCGGCAAGAGCAGCTGTGCTGGGGGGTCTTGTGGACACTGGGTAAACATCTTCGTTCAGACATGGCCTTAACCAAGTGGTTAACGGACTGGTCACCAGATTTTATTTTTGTGAATCAGCCTTTTCATTTGACTGATTTAGGTTTAGGCCACTCTCTGTCTTATTTTGTTGTTTTCCAATTAGGATACTTTTTAAAAGCCTTCAGAATTCACTGCTGAGACTGAAATTCGGGAAGGGTTCCCTTTCCCTCTTTAGGAAAAGTGGGGAGCTTTTATGTTGCTGTGAAGCACCCCGACTCACCCTTTCAGACCATCAGCCGCGTGGCAGGCCAACAGCAGCCTGAGGAAGGGTTAGCTGCCTGCTAGGAAGCCCGATTCCGAAGGGAACCTTTTAGTTTTGTTCCAGATGTCCCGGTCCAGGCTCACCCTTTGCGCGAGTGCCAGCCTGCTGCGGGGTAAACTCCCAGCTCCTCCCCGCCAGGTGCCTTTCGGTCGTGCTTGGCCTCCTTCCGCCGCGTGTGGCCCACGTTGTCTCAGTCCCGTGTGAGGTGCTGGTGAGTATTACCTTTCATCCGTGCCATGCTCTAGAACATTCTCCTGATAGGCACCGCCTCTGATGGATTCCTGTTTGAAATAAAACAATTCACATGAAAGCCCTTCGATGGCCTGTCTGTAAAACGCTCATTTCTTTGTATCGTACTAATATTTCCATTGTTTGTGAGCAGTGTCTGTATTTTTCAAGTGACTGTAGGATTTCGTGAGTGTTCATGTGGGAGTGGGCATATTGTAGATAGTGAGGGGAGAAAAATGATGCATTTGAAAGGGATTGCAGATTTTTTGTGGGGGGGTTAGGTACTGAGGATCAAATTCAGGACCTTGTGCTTGTGAGGCAGGCAGCAGCACCATTGAGCTAAATCCCCGACCTCCTCTGGCCTGTTTCTTAGCCTCCGTGACCCACGGGAGGGGCAGCACAGCCATCGTTCCTCTCTGGTCACCAGTGCCCAGGTGCATCTTTCATCCCTAATTAAAGTGGCCACTACCCAGTTGATTAGTTTTCAGTCATAAACTTGCCAAAAGCAACCTTTTCCCTCATTTCACAAGGCACACGTGTTTCAGTGTCTTTCCTCTGTTTAAGGAAATTGTTTTAACTCTAGAAATGTCGCGTTTTTGTTTTTGTTTTTCTGTGAAACAATTCCAAGGGGAAGGGCACGAGTTGTGCCAAGCCGGGGTCACACCCTGTGCTCTGGTGACCACTCAATTCAGAGCCACCACGCAGACCTGTCCCAGAGAGGAGCATCGTGGCTGCTGGCCCACAGTGACAAAGGAAACCTGTTGGCATGGGTCACCCGCCAAGCTTCCTGTACCGCCCCTGCAGCAGCCACAGCCTTCCCAGGAAGAGGTGCACTGTGTGTGGATGGAACCCAGCACCTGGCACGTGCTGGGCAGATGCTCTACCCCCCCCCAATACTGGGGGGACTATCCAGGGCCTTTGCACTTAACTACGTTCCTGGCCCCCTTTTGTTTTGGTACCAGGGATCGAACTCGGGTCCTGGGTCCTTGCACTTGCGAGGAAGGCAGCAGCACCACTGAGCTAAATCCCTGGCCCGTTCTGGCCCTTTTTTCTTATTTTTGAGTTAAGTGTCTTGCTAAGTTGCCCAGACTGGGCTCAATTTTGTGATCTTCCTGCCTCAGCCTCCCTCCCAGAATACTGAGACTACAAGTGTGCTCTACAATGCCAGGCTGCCTGCACTTTTAAAATCCATCCGAGTTGCCTTTCTTTAAAAACCATTACAGTTTCTAAACATGTCTTTACTCAGCGAGTAGGGGAGTCTGTTCCGTTTTCTCTGCATTTTGCTTTTCTGAGCCCCAAGGGCTCATGTGTCTCTTGCCTCGGCTGTGACTCTCCAAGCTCATTTTGTGGGAGAGCCAGGCCTGGTGCTGAAGCCCCTGCCGGTGCCTGGTCCCCCAAAGGATGTGTGTGAACTTGGCATGTCCTGGTGTATGTCAGGAGTGAAAATGCATATGGGACAGTTTAGCCTCTGTGGCTTTGTAGGAAACAGGCAGGAAAGCCCTCAGCTACTCTCCGGGCACTTTGAGTTCTGACCTTTTCCCCTCAGTAAGAGCTCTTGCCTAGAGCCGGGGCTGAGACTTTTTCCCCTTCCAGACCGGCCTACTTCCCACTGTCTCTGCGGAAATGAGCCTTCCACCGATGGAAATAGAATACCTGCCTTGGTGTCATCCTTTGGGACCTGAAATGATTATAAATTACCTCAAGTTCCCCATCTGCACATTGCCGCCTTTTAAGAGCATAAAAGCATGACAGTTGTCTTAGGTATTTTTTTCCTTTCAGTCACACTGCATTGGTCACTCTTCTCCTTCCCTTTTTGTCATTCTTGGTCTAAGGCCTGTCCCCCGCACCCTTTCCTTGTGTCTTTTTACCATCTGTAGATGTCTTGGTCCAACAGCCATGCTAGGATGATACAAGTACAGTATTCTACAAATGCCAACCTAATTTTTATTAAGACCACTTTTTTTTTTAAACTGAAGGAACCCAGGAGTTCTTCCACTGAGCTGCATTCCCATCCCCCACCCCACACCCCCTTTTTTTGAGATAGAATCTGGCTGAGTTGCCCAGACTAGCCTCAGACTTGAAATCCACCTGCCTCAGCTTCCCAAGTTCCTGGGATTACTATGGGGCCAACACACACAGCATAGGACTGATTGTAAGGTCAGCTCACAAGTCAAGGTCTTACCCTGGAGATAGAAAATCCATTGCTAAATCCTGTTCTGTTTTATTGGCCTGCCCTCAGCAGCTGCTCGCTGTGTATCACTGACACAACATCTGTGTTTGTGACAGCCTGTCCCTTGGAACTGGATTTCTAGAGTGTTTTCATAGAATGGTGCATTTTGAGAGGCCCACGAGGGGTCGCAGGGAGGGAGAGGGCTTGGACACTGAAGGGAAGACTTAACACGGGATAGGAAAGGAAGATACGTAACCACCAGAAGCGAGCCTTTTAAACAGGGTGCCTCCGTGCAGTTTGGGTCCTGCTCAGTGATTGCTGTGGGATTCCTGGGCCCATCGTGAAGTTTACCAGGTGGGTGTGTTTTGTATCAGTTTTGTCACCGCAACTAGAAACCCCACAGAGGGACCATTCCAGTGGTCTATGTGCTGGACAAGCTGAACAGAGAGCCAAGACCTCTGTCACCTAAGGGAACCCTCTGTCCTCAGTGTGGAGTGCGTGTCTCCAGGATTATATTTGAGCTTCAGTTTTTTTCACCAGCGTCAGTGCTACAGTAGCTGAGGCCTATGGATGGGCTGCATTCGTACTGCTAACCCACAATCATTAGATTTCTCCTTACCACATTTGTTCTAAGCCTGGTGACAGGACTGTCACAGGTGAAGGTTGCAATATTTTTTAATCCGACTTTGGAACATAACGCAATAAATAAATAACCACTTTTAAACTTCGCTATCTTCTGTGAATTTAAAAGTTATCGAATTCTACAAAAGTAAATATTTGTAAGCAAGTTGATTTGTAAAAAATCTTATCTGATGTTCACTAAAACTGCATTTAGGGCATTTCAGAAATTTCACCTGTGACTTTTTCTTCTTGCCTGATCCACCCTTCCTTGTGACTTCCTGGGTGGAATGTTGAAGCTGCCCCTCCTATGAGATGTTTGTTGCCACAGCCTAAGGCCATTCAGGGGTCTGCAGTGGGCCTGGCTCCCTCTGGTGTTGCACCTGGCGGGTGGTGGTTGATAGTCTGGCAGAAAGCCAGTGTCACTGTGCAACACATCTGGCTCGCTCGGGAGGTGTGTGACAGGTCGCTTGGCGCCTGAGGTCCTCTTAAGGACCCCAGCACAGTTGTCCTGTTGGAGCAGAAGGGGTGTCGGCAGATCCATTCTCTCCTCACAATGCCCAGTGTGGCAGTAGTAACTCAGAAAATAGAATTTGCCTGGAGCTTTGCCTTCTTGCAGATTCAACCATTCTCAGCCTCTTCAACTGAACTGGGCTCATTCTTGTGCTTTTTGTGCCAGGGTGCTAATGACTTTTTCTTGTTAGGGGAATGTTCCGAAGATACCGAGCTGCCAGGGCCTGCAGACTGTGGGCACTGATGGTGGCAAGAAGGTTGCTCAGGGCTTCTGACCTCCTGTTCTAGCAGTCCTGTTCCTGGGTAGGGCACGTTCCCCTTCTCTGGATGCTGAGTAAAGGGAGCTCAGCTTTGCAAACCTCAGGAAGTAAGATTTTTCCAGCTTTAAAAGAAAAACAATTCTTTAAAAATGAAAACCAAAATTTTGCATTTGAAGTACACGATAGCCTCAACCATTGAGTCAGTTTGAAGTTGGGGGTGATGGGAGACTTCACACCAGAAATCTCTGCTCTAAACCTGGCTGGCCCTGCTGCCCGTTTGCTCTTCTGACCACGCATATCCTGTACCAGTGAGTCACATCTTACACATGCAACCCTGGAGAGGGTTTCGAAAGATCCACAGCTCCTCTCAGAGTAGATGAAACCCAGACCAATAAACTCTAGGGCCCCAGACAAAGGCAGTTTAGGAGACTACAGCCTCCAAAAGCAGACGGGCTCTCAGAACCCCTTGCTCACCCCCCAGTCTTTGTAGCAGCCACCACAGCACAAGGCTCGTTTTGCTAGTGAACCAGGTCCCAGAGTAGCATCTCGGGCTTCAGGGCAGGAATGTCCCAGATCCCTGAATGTGTGTTCTTTTTGAGCACTGGGAAATGGGCACTGGTCTGCAGTTTGCAGGAACACAAGGCAGAGGGAGGTGGTGTTTTTGCCTCAGGAGCAAGCAGAGCCATTCAGAGCCCAAGACCTATTGCCCCCTTCAGGTTCCTCGCCTTGATGCTTGTCCACACCTCTTACTCCCCAGGGCTCCCCACCAACCTCTCTCTTCCCATCCAGCTCAGCGATGGGTAAGTGGGTGGTGAGCAGCCAGCTCCTCGAGGACATGGCACGTCTGTCTTCCCTCCCACTTTCATGGGGACTCAGATCTCGCGCTCTCTTCATTAGAGATGACCCAACTACCAGGCCACTCCAGGTGTCAGCTGCAGGAGCGATAGGCTGGTTGCCTGCTTGGATGCAGGAACAACTGGCACCAGCCTCAGTGTCTCTCATGTGAGAAGAGGTGGGCGCCAGGCTTGACCTCCACTATGTCTGTGGCCTGAAATGAGCCAAGACGCCATCCCTGGAAGCAGGGCCCCTCTCCCCGCGGGCTCTCTGTAGTGTTGCCCTGTGTGCTGCAAACTTGGAGGGCCAATCCTCCCCTGCAGCAGCTCCTCCTGTTCCCAGGAATGTGATTTACAGAATGGTGGTCCCGTAAAGCTGTACTCTTCACTTCTGAAAAACAGCAAGTATGGGAAAGAATGTAAATTATAAATACTGAATTCCAATGGTCAGCACTAATGTAATGGTGTGGGTAGGTTATTTTTTTAAAATATGGAATGCATATGGCTTTAATTTCTGAGGGGCTGTCCCCCCATGGCCATATTTGTAGGGAAAACAGATAACCAGATAACAGCAAAATGTCCTGCTGAGATAGTGTTTTTCCAAAATGAAAAACAGCATTTCTCTGATGACTCATTGGCCAAATTCTTGGAATTGCCACTCTTGGAGGGAGGGCAGTGGGTGACAGCAACTTTCTCATACTCATCAGCCTGGTG